CGCGATTTAATATTAAAATATTATGACAAACGTCAACAGGAGGCGGGTGTAAAGAGACGCGCTTCTGATTGGCTCGCGACCGCGTGAATACGAAACGAGAGACAGGGACACCTCGCCAACCCTTGTTTTGCCCTTCACAAACTGTTCCCTTTTTGCTCCTGCGACTGAAACTCAGAAGAGTATTCTGACAGATAAAGCGGAGAAGGGGACCAGGTGTTAATCCAGTTGAAAACGCGGTCTTTCGGTTTTTAATACTATTATCCTTTTTTGTATCTTGAGAGAATCTACGTCGCGTACAAGTGTATAATAATTTTGACAATCTCCATTTCATTTCGGTCATTTTAAGAGTTATCATAAAATCTTTTCAGATATTAATTAAAGAATAAAGAAAAGACAAGATATTCTCTCTTATATAAATGTCCTATATGTTTCAATTAATTTAAATCCAAGAATAATTCCATATTTCTTATCTGCCTTATTTTATATAAAAAATATATATCATTCAAATGAGTTTATAAATAAAAAATAAGTAAAATTATCGATACACAGTTTTCTTTTCAATTTCGATCTAGACTAAATTAGATTTTAAATACGAAAATGTACGACCTATTGAACGTCTTGATAAAACAACTACATGTAAAACAGTGAAGGGGATTGCGAAACAGGCAGATATTGTGATGCAAAATATGTATATATTAAAAGCCAAATCTGATTGAATTCACCGTGCGAGCGGATCGTCGGCACCAGTGTCGATTTAAACGTCGCTTTTTTTTTCCTCGTGCAAAAGCATCTGTAACGTGAGTGAGCGTGCACACACGAAGCGTGTCGAACGAGGTTCGACGCACGTAGTTTAGCTCGTGCATCGTCGACATGCAGAAAAGCGCGCTAAATAAACACTCCTGATAGCGTGCTTGTAACGAGTTTAAAATCTAACGATATCCCATCGGTTTGAAACACGGCCGAGGCTCGCCACTCTCCAGCTATCGAACAATCGCCTGTACAACAGAAATTTCGATACCCGTTTTGTATTCATTCCCGCCTATCGGCTGATATTGATATCTTCCCTTTTTTCTACCTAGCGGTTATAAAACGATTGGGGTTGATTGTTCGTTATGAAATCGTGGATAATCGTGTTATTATACCGCTATATCCTTTGTTTTTTTTTTTTTTTTTTAATGCATGATTTTTACAAACTCATTGCGATTAAATAGATAATTCTAAATTAAAAATGTTATTACTTGCGACTATAAAAAGAAAATTATTATTTATCACGGATATATTTTTGCGTAATTCATGAATTTTTTTATTTTAGAGAAGTATTAAAGATGAAAACGAAATAAAAACCCTTAAATTAAATACCTATATATTTGTGAAAAAATCGATATTTTACATATTCAATCGAAAATTGGTGAGTCATAGTTGTCTAAATATCTCGACTACCCTCATTCCAACAGATGAAGCGGAAGACGAGGCGTAGTAGAAAGTTCGGCAGCGCGCAGAACCGAAAGTATCACGACGAGGGTGTACATAAGGAACTCATATACAGCCATGGGAGTTTTGGTATGGGAGGTTTGCTGCGGTATGGAGAAGAAGGAAGGAAGGAATAAATCCAAACAGTAAACAGAGCGGAGCTTGCGGGGAGAGAGAAAACGTTGGTGAAAATTCTAATATATAAAAGATATGAGAGGCCGCGCGAGGGGGTTGAACTGGAGGAAGCCTCCGGGATTCAAATAAGTGGCGTTACGCGAGGTACCCGCGAGGGTGAGAGGGCGGGGAGGGCAGGGTAGGAATCTGAACAGCCAACAACAAGCGCGGCCTCCGACCTTTATTTAACCTTTTCTTAAAAGAGTCTTAGGAGTCCCTCTTATCTGCAGTCGATGGTCCTTCAACGTCGGTCCTTATACTTTCATTCTTCCGTACTCTTATATCTTTTTCCTTTGGTCCCCGTGTACACACGTTGAGTTTCATCATCTTTTTCTCTTGTCCTCTCTCCCTTTCCCCTAAAAACCCTTACGTTTTCGCGACGAATAACGAGTAACCCTTTCCTCCGCGACGTTCGCGGTTTTGGTTTAAGAATATTTTCGCTTCTTCATTAAGAGAGACGCTGAGTCGACATAATGAATTAAAGGACGACTGCGAGGATCGGCCGAAGTAGATTAAACCATTCTACGGATCGTCGCATTTCGTGGGCAAACGACATTATTCTGAGTAATCTATGAGCGAATACGTGTGATTTTATTCATTAGTGATCGAGCTGTATTTTAATAATAAAATGAAGTCTCTTAAAATATTCCTAAATAAGAACAGAACTGAAACAAAACAAAGATCTGATTGATTTGCTTGATGTACATAAAAATGAAACTTGTTCAATATTGCATTATTTTTGTAATTAGAAAATAACGTTATTCTTTGGCGAATTAAGACAACATACATATTTATTTTTATCGTTTATATATACTAATGCAGTTAAAAATAAAATTGTATATGGTTTCCTATATAGAACAAAATGAATTTCTTGTTTATCAATGATATAATAAAAAGATGTGGCTACATATATAATTATATGAATTACAAATTGAGCAGTCTATGTAAAATGGAAAAATTCAAATTTTGACGTTAACTGCAGAGTTCGTGATTACAGTACGGGAAAAAACAAGAAAAGAGCTTCAGACACACGAGCAAAATTCTGCAAAGTGATGTGCCCTTTCTTCTGTTTTCCTTCATCGCCTCCTAACTTTATACCGTCCTTTTTCCCCTTTTCTTTCTTTCCTCTGCCTCACAGACTTCGCTCCGAAACGCCACGCGCTGGCGCTCCTGACTAAACACTGATAACGTGAGCCACGGAATTTCTTTGCATGTTATAAACATACGTAATCGTACACAAATAAGATTAGCATAGGACTCGGCATGCTGGATTTGCAAGAGACACACGGCCTCCCGTTCGCGAGACAATCGTTTCATAGCATCGCGCACAAAGGCACAAACGTATTTTAAATTTATTTCCGTCTTTCGCGGTCGATGGGATATTTGATTCAGAAAGCCAGTCTTTGACTGGCTCGTATAAGAATGGCTAGTCAACACAATTGAATAGCACAAAATGACGTTATTATGCGTTATATATTACGCATAAATCTATAACGCAAATAATAAATTATTTTTATGCAAAATTGATTTTTATATCATTTTTGCAGCTGTCAACCGTAATTATAATATTTATTTACGGAATTACTTACTGGATATTAACGAAATTTTGTAAAATTTTTCAGAGAAAATGACGTATGCAATTACACAAACATAATTTCATTATAAATAGATGTATGATGAGCATACATATTATTTCACAATCGTTTCTATTGATTAGAGTGTAATTTATAGAGTCGACGGTGTTTTAATATTTTAGCGATGTTAGATACGATAAAAGTTTTACTGTGTAAAGACGTAAAAGAGCGAGGGAATATTTTTGCGGGATAAATACATTGGAAAACGCATATGCGCTTGTCTTCGACAAGGTGTTTTGCTGTTCTGTTGGATCCTTGGATTGATAAATATTTGCACAAGCAATGCGTCCCGAGACACGTGTGTTTGTGGTAATTACTTTGTTGCGTGACGATTGTTTGTTATGCAATTCGGTTCTCTGACGAAGGCACGAAGTGCGAGGCCAACGGGCACTCGAATTGGAAATATTTTTAACTGAGCGTGTCTTGTACAACATTTCACTTGTTATTGTACGTGATATAACATATGTTTAAGATAAATATTTACAAAAACAAGTAATTGATTAGAGCGATATATATATATATATATATATATATATATAAGTAGCTTATTTATCAGTGTTTATTATAATTTGCGGTTTGCATCATTATTTGGTATATTTACATCTACTGTTAAAATAATTTATTAAAAAAATATTTATATTAAAATTACTTTTATTATTTTTTACAATTTAAATTCTTAAAACTATATATTGTAAAATCTCACAATGAGAATATATTTACATCTACTGTTAAAATAATTTATTAAAAATATTTATATTAAAATTACTTTTATTATTTTTTACAATTTAAATTCTTAAAACTATATATTGAAAAATCTCACAATGAGAAACAGACAGAAAAATCAACTATACAAATTTTAAAATTAAGTTTTAACAACATAAGAGAATGTATGTCTTCATACAGAGAATGTAAAGAATACTTACAGAGAATTTGAAGAACAATACTTACAATATACACATCCAGAGTTATTACCTGTAAATTACAAAATTTATCAATTATTGCGTAAACCTGTCGGAATCGAAAGTTTGTAATTCCACGTTATTTCTATAATGATAAATTTGATTAAGATAACAAAGGGTAATAACTTTTTTTTAAAACATCGTGTCTCTAATATCGTCCCACTTTATCATACAATAATACAATAATAATGAAGAACTTATCGAGACATTTGGAACGCGCTCGAAAGTTTCGACCCTCGATCGTTCTCTCGCAGCAAGAAGTGAGCGGAAGAGAAGCTGAGTGCTCGATTCCGCCTTTACACTCGACAATCTGCTTGATGATAGAACTTAATAAAACAAATCCCGCTGTGTAAACAGCCGAGGAGACTCGAGCCGACGTCATTCAGACAACAGCGAGTTTTCCTTCGAGCCAGCCAATGATGACGGAGCAGCCGAGAGCTGGCCCGCACGAATACCATTAGATAAGATCAATATTGTTCAAAATACGGTAGAAGTTTAACGCATGTACATTACATGGCATTTATATCATGAATATTCCGCCCGAAGCTGCTCTTAACTCCCTTGCTATTCTGTGTCGTGGTATCTTTCTCATTTAACCCTCGTTCCTTATCTTCAAATTTGTCGCTACGTAAATACCAATTCAAATCTCGATGTTGAAAATGTAACTTCTTGGCGAACGTTTTATCAAAAAAGTATGATTCTTCCACGAGGCAGTTCGCAACAGCCTTTGATCGAACTTTCGATCTCCATTTTCGTCTTTCAGGCTACCTCGCTGTTTGCAGCCCTGAAACAGCAGCAACAACAAACGCGCGACAGCGTCTTCTCGTCGCGAGACCGCGACTGTCGCGACAGGGATCGCCTGTCTACGACACGCAATCGTGACTCCGGCAGGGGTAACATTGCGGAGACCGGCGGCAACGGGGCTGCTGATCAGCAGCAGCAGCAGCAGCAGCAGGATCTTAGTATCGGGTACCAAAGCAATGGGAAGCTCAGTCCCGCCGGACACACAGTGACAGCAGCACCCATGACCCAGCAAAAGCAGCCGATCATTACGCAGCAGTCGCAACAGCCCAGCTCGGGGGCGCCAGGACCCCAACCTAGTCCGCATCAGAGTCCGCAAGCTCCACAGAGGAGTTCACCGCCGAATCCTTCCCAGGGTCCGCCACCCGGTGGCCCGCCAGGGGCACCGCCGTCGCAGACTCCCTCGCAGATGATGCTCAGCTCGGCGAGCGGTCTCCATCAGATGCAACAGCTGCTGCAACAACACATACTCAGTCCTACGCAGTTGCAATCCTTTATGCAGCAGCACACATTGTATATGCAACAACAGCAACAACAGCATCATCAGGTCAGAATCTTTTGATATCTTTTATTATTAATATCTTTACGTTATACATACTTTATAAGTATATTTTATTTATGTAATTATGAACATTCAGCAAGATATATATTGTGATTATTTATTTCTTTTTATTATTTTTCGAACTTCAGATAAGGTATCGATGATAAACATCTTGATGAATATATGCTAAATATATTTCCATGTTATATTTTTTATGAAACAATTATTATTTATAATTTTATTTTATTATAATGCGTACTGTGATAATATCTTCAGATTGTAAAACATTGCTGTTAAATGTTGTCGAATGTTATTAGATACATAATAGATCAATCTGTTCTTCAAAAGCTTAAAAATTAACATTTGTCATATAATTTTGGAGTTTACAAAGCTTTTACATTCTATTTTTGCATCTTCCATTTTCATATTTAGATTGCTTTATTCAAATATTGCTTAATTGCAGGATTCATCTTCCGATCATGCATCTAACCAGGAACGTTTTGGCTACTTCTCTTCTTTAAAAAACGTAAGTGAAATTTTTAATTTTTACACGTATTATTTTACAAAGTTATTTATTTGACAGATACAGAGGCATAAATTTTTAGCAAAGTATTTTGATAGTTTTTATACAAATATATATCGACATATTTATATCTAGTTGGAGAACATAATGCATTTTATAGCACAACTGTTATGCCTGTAACTTGATGACAAATTTTAAATTAAATTCCTGATTGAATAAACGAAATGGAAACATAAGATACTTTTGTGAGGAAACTAATCTTAAAAGAGGTTTTGAATTTCGGTGTACGCGCAATTCGTAGCCGACAGAACTGCTGGGAACTTCAATGCTGTAGCGAGAGGGTTGATACTCGGTCTGTGTAAACAAGTAGTCCCTTCTATATCGTTACAATAACAATACACGTCGCACGAACCACTTTTGCTATCTAGCTGCGGTGTTATCTTGGCGCCTACGATCCAATAAGCACTCTGATATTCTTTTTCAAAAATACCTACGCACCCGACAACAAATATTTTTCATATAGCAACGTGTAGTTTATTACAGCAGAAATGATTCTTCGAAGAAGAAGTGTGTCGAACTTCATATCGGATATATATATTTGGCTCAATCATTTTCGAAAGATGAAATAATAAAACCATGACATTAATATTTACACAAATTAATAACAATAAATAAAAGTTTAAATTATAGTTTACAAATTAAAACTTTGCTTGGAAATTTTTTACTATCCTCAGTATCCAAATTTAGAATTACGAAAAAGATGCACGACATAATGACAAACAAATATGAGATATAAAAAGATCATATGTTATTTAACATGAACACGGAAGATGCTTATCAATGAGAACGTGTTTGCACTCATTAATCGTACAGTTTAGTAATATGATAAAGAGCATGTATATACCTCGAAGTTTGTTTTAAAATATCCTCGAGGCGTACACGAGAGACCGAGAAATGAAATAGGCAGAGGGGGTTAGTCTAGAGGATGAGGTAAGCAATTAAGCATCGCCATCAGTCGTTGTGTCTCATTGTTTGTCTTCGAGGTGCCCATCAACTGCCCTCTATCTTTTTGCCCCCTTGGTGCTGCGAATTATCTACGCCCGTGATTTATTCATCATTCCAAGACGCAAGTGCCGCCTTCGCCCTTTTCTTTTCCTTTTTATTCCGGCCAACTAATTTGACAGGAATGAATTGTTCACTTCCTGACGTTTAATAATAAACCACCGACGATACTGTTTGATTCATAATTAATTGTTTCGATCGTTTAATTTAAAAAAATATTCTATGAAAAATTTATATAAAAAATTAATACTTATATAAAAATTGTCTTTTTTTTCTTTAAATTTCTTAAGAGAATATTATTTACTTTTAACTTACGTATTAAATTCTTTGTTTTAAATAATAATATGTTATAAAAATATATTACCGATTTAATAGCAATAAAGAACAAACCTATGTTTAAACAAGGCGACATTTGTTTTATTTCAGCATCAACATCAACTTGCGGAACTCAATAAAAAACAGTTGGAGCAAGCGATGCAACAACTGCAGGAACAGTTGCAACTGAATTTATTTCAGCAGACGCATTTATTGCAAACGGCAGACAAGAAAAAGGCATCGGCACCTCTTCAACAATTAGCGATTCAGCAGCAGCAGCTGATACAGCAATTACAGATAACACAGAGGCAATATCTGTTGCAACAAGGACTAAGTCTTCAAGGCCATAATCCTTCTTCAGGTATTTATACACTGAAATCACAAAATGCTCTATTAAAGATCTAATATAGTATTTAGTATCAAATAGATTTAAATGTTGTTAACAGATATTGATAGCGAATATTGCAAATATATGCGATATATTCATGATTACAATAAAACTGTCTGTAATTATATTAAAAAATTATATTCCTCAGAAAATAAATAATAGAATTTTCGTAATATTATATATGATAATTCAATTATTGTTTTATATTAAATCTTAATCAATAGCTATGTTAAATAAAATTATAAGGCGATAATATATGAAATATTTAGAGCTAAAAAATAAAGTAAAATAATTTATAAATTCTACTTTATAAAATCCCATCTTACAAATCTTTATGGTGCATAAAATTTTCTATATATGAAATACAAGGAATTACTTATTCTAAAAAATTGATTAAGATTTAAAAAAAAAATTTTTTTTATTAATTGAATATATCCGCACATTACAAAAATATAAACAACTTTGTTAAAGATTATACTTACTGATACAATTGTTTCAATGTCTTGCACATACACTCAGCGTCAGTATGTATGTATGGTATATTTCACAATCAATCATGAGGAAGGCGATGTTTTCTATTAACACATGCTCACGTTCGTAAATGAAGGGATTATGCAAACGCATATTTTTAGCTATCGCGTATCGTTGTCACGCTTTTACATTCTAACACGGATGCATCATACAAACATAGGAGAATTCGCGTAAACATCACAAAGACGATCGGTCACGTGTCACAACAAAACACACGCATGTATTTGCAGCGACGTATAACACGCTACCGTGGGAGTCACGTGTGATCGGCAGCACGTGTGCAAAGACGAAGGTAAGCTCTGATGTTGGAGGCATCTCCTTGGTTTAAACTAAAACGATCCACTTGTTCTATCAAACCCTTTTGAGCCTACATACGCATCTATTCCTTCTCTTTTGTCTTGGTACCTCTCAGTTCTTCCTCTCTTTTGCTTCCACATTCTCACTGTCTCCCTTTCTTGCTTTCCATTTCACCCTGGGCAAAGCTTTTCACGTAGAAGTGTTTCGATTACGTCGGTACTCGCTTCGACGATGTTTTTCTTTCTAACACGTGTATATATACATGTATATACACATAAGTAAAATGTAGGAAGGACCATTTGAAATAGCAGCTGTAATATACGGTTGCTTCGAATTCGATAGTTCACGTGTGAAACAAACTTGCCGACCATCCTTGACTCTGTATCCGTTGGTCCACTTAATTGCTGTATCCCATTTCTGTTTTCTTCATCTCTCGGATATCTAACTATCTACCTCCTTCAGTCTCATTGCTCTTCCACCTCGCATGTCTCGTCCCCTGTTATTCTTATTATATTCCTCATATGCCTCCTCATCTGGCGCGTAGCTTCGTCTTTCGTCCGCACACATGTTTGCTTCACACGTGATTATTTCGAGATACGCGCCGAATATCATTTCATGTTATAAATTTCAATATCTATTATACAGCGTTGTTTAAATCAAGACATAATCTGAGAGAGAATGTTATGTATTATATATATAAAATATATTTATATATATTTCTAAGAAATGGTTTTCTTATTGAACTAATTATAAAAATTTGACGATAAAAATATATCCGCATAAACTACAATAAAAATCATTTGCCTAATCTCTTTACTCAATCAGTTTTTCAAATAATTATTTTCTTAAATTTTAAGCAGGTTTGCCACCAAGCGATAATCTATCATCATGGCCGATCAAATCAGAGCCGTCGGATACTCCGGAATCCCATCAGAATTCCAACGTGCCGAAGTCCAACTCCGGATTAAACGGTAAAACATATAGTCTCATGCCTCTCTGTTTGTCTCGATCTCGCGCTCGTTTTTCTATTCCAATTTCTCCTTGCTTATATGTTTTACTTTTGTGAATGCGACGTTCGTTTGCCGAACTATCGCAGGCATTCTGAATTCGATAGTTTCAAGCCGGCGATCCGAGGTAAATGGTACAACGCCGATGGATGAGAAGCCGCTGGACGCCTCCTGCAACGATAAAGTTCATCCCCTCTATGGCCATGGAGTTTGCAAGTGGCCAGGCTGTGAAGTAATTTGTGAAGACTATCAAGCATTCCTTAAGTGAGTTTTGCAATCTAATTTGTTTATATGCGTCAATTGTGTTTCCGACATTTAAAAATCACATATCGTCGTGCGATTATTTTGCTCGAACATCTGATGCAAATCTTTACCAGCGCAATATTAACATTTTTTATTAATATTACGAAGAATTAAGTAATTTATCTTTAAGTGATTTAAATCAATCGAAACGAAAACATTTATTATTCGTGTTACATAAAAGTCAGACTTGTCGTCCATGGTACGATATATTTTAGCAGGCGGGAAACTGTTTCCAAGTAAGTAGATAAATGCGCGGAAGAAGCTCAGTGCTTCGAGTATGAAAGGCTGAAGAAATGGGAATAAAGTCAGCAATTAAATTGGAAAAGATGAGGCAAAGGAAGTGTAGAAAAATCGCTCGTGTCAGCGTATCTCATTGACATCAGACGCTTTCGCCCATCGGCTTCGAGCCACAACCGCAAGCTCCGTCTCGCCGGGAGGGATCTTTCGTAATCACGTAGTTCGTCGGCGCAAACTCCCTCAAACAAGCCGTTACTTAAAAAAAAAACGCTAATTACCTTTGTCTCATTAATATTCACGACATTCGACCGCATCGTTATGCCCCTCAGTCTAATCCCTTTCTGCCCTCCTCCTCCCGCCAATTCGTCCGTTCAAGCTCCCTCGACCTTCCCGCATCTTCGTTCTTAACCGACCAACCCACTCCTCACCATTCTCCTCACCCTCGATACAGCCGTTTCGACGACGAAGAAGGATTACGGAAATTCTTAAATACGGAATCTTGTTGGCGGTGTTGGCACCCCCATCCCTGTTCCTATGACGCGGCGAAGCTTAATTTTCTGTCCTGCCGTCTCCTGGGGCGGTGAAAGAACGGGTCCCCGTGGTTGGAGAACGAAAGCGTTACGTGTCCGGGATTTTTCGTGGCTTTCTTCTGACGGAAGAGTTTATTCGCAGCTCTTGCAAGATAATTGTGTGGCTATATCTTCATTGCTTTTCCGTGATTTCATCGATACGCATAAACTGTTACAAGAATATCATATAATTTTCAATGAGAACCCAAAATTATAAATCGTGTTAAAGATTATAATTTTCAAATCGATACACGAATTTTTATTAAGTACACGGCACGAGATAGGAAATAGATTACGCTAAAATATTATATAACTTAAAATAAAATTTATAGGAAATATAAATGTGTAATGCCACTTCATATGATTAATTTATTTTAATTCAGTTTTATTTCTGGTTTTATCGCGGTCGTGCATGTCTTTTTATCGTGTCATTTGATCTAATTTAACAGAAGGATCGATATATGATCACGATGTTAAATATTATAAACATTTTACTTGCATTATACCTGCTTTGTTAGTTCTTTCTTATAGTATTTATGTAATATTCTGTTATTTAGCAATTAAAAAGTGCAATGTATTGAATACTAAGATATATAATTGATCGTGAAATATTGCAGACACTTAAATACAGAACACACGTTGGATGACCGATCGACAGCGCAAGCTAGGGTCCAGATGCAAGTAGTATCACAGCTAGAAATTCAATTGCAAAAAGAACGAGATCGACTGAACGCTATGATGCATCATCTGCATATGGCGAAACAGATGGCTTCTCCGGAACCACCAAAATCATCCGAATCATCGGTAAGGTTTCTTTACTGCATTATAATTTTATATTCATAATTTAATGCACTTTGCCATTTATAATTATTTATTGCACTAAATGAAAAAATGCATAATGATAATAATTATAATGCAAATTTTTTGCAATCTAATTTTTTACAAAAGAAATTTAAAATGAAAATAATACACATTTTACTTTAAATATTCAATGATCATCTTTAACTTATGATTGCATCTCGAAATTAATCGACAAATTGATGCGATTTCATTTCGAATATTATTATTAATAACAATATAAAACTTAATTTATTAATGTAACAATTTGTAAATACTTGTTATACATTTCTACAGACTTTTTGCACAAAATTTTTATGAATAAATTAATTGTTATTGAAAGCTGTAATAATTTTGTTATTCGTTTTATCGCGAATGAAAAAATCAATTGTGTAATATTATGATATTTGAAACAACAGAAAGTTTCCATTTTAAGCCGCAATTATAATATACTTAAGAGTACGCTTTAGAATGGATATTGAAAGTCGAATCCGGAAAAACCATCCGAGAGCGACGCGTAAACTTTCCCCGCTGTGGCACCACTACAAGATCGTAAAGTCGAATTTTCACGACAGACCAGCTCGTTGGAAGATTTTACGATCTCCTCGCGGCCCGCTAACAACAACGCGAGTTTCAGTTTTAACGCGCCGCCGAGTCGAGTGCTAATTTATACATAAAGTTTGCATTAATAATTCATCGGAGCCGCGGTGATTTTATATCGCCTTAATTAAAACCCCTAACAAGTTGGGCAGTCGGAGAATACCAATATCGCATTAGCCCTCCGCCAGCGACAACGCCCGACGACCGACGGTTTAATTATTTTAACGCGGCTGTGTGAGTGATAGCGCTACGAAGATCGGATTGCGCGTATAGTTCATATACATCGTAAAGTTTGCAGACCATTGTGAAATATAATAAGATATTCGCATTTTTTACATTACATAACGCTTTGGCTGCATTAAATATTATCGTGGAAAAAAAATATTTTAAATATATATTTTTCTTATGATTATATATTATATAAGATCTCGCGTTCAAAGCTTTTTAATAAGACTACTATTTTTTCAAGTTTATGAAAACTATTACCTCTGCAGGAATAACTCTGTTATATACACAAACATATATAATATAATTAAAGATTTTATTTCTTCTCTATTTCTTTCATTTTTGTATATTAAATAAATACGTACTTCTCTCTAGGCCTATAAAAGGAGAAATTATTTTTTGTTATTTCTCATTTATATTATTTTTAATCGATCAATCAAATATATTTTCGATTCTCTTACCTTATCTATTTCTTGATATCTAATTTTTTTAACCTAGTATAATTCTTAATTCAATACATTGAGCAAATTATCTGCAACTCGTAACTTATTATAGTACCGAGAAGATACCTATTCGATATCCGTCACACCGATTAAACTCTCATACGCTGTTTATACCTACTTACATTATTGTTGCCCTTTAATTTTGTTTTCTATTTTATAAACTTTGTTTCAGACGGGCTCGAATTTACCAAAGCTGAATTTTTCTACCGCGCTGATGAGTCAACCGCCACCTAACTTCGGGGTCTCTCAGGTGTCTCCGGTGTCCATGTCCGCTCTGGTGTCCGCTGTGAGGTCACCTGGTGGGGGTCAACTACCCCCGTCGGCTGGTGGTGGACCGATACCGCCACTTCCGACCATACCTAATATGGCCGGTTTACCGCCGATGCCCAATATGCCCGGCAGCATGCCGAGCATGGCTGGTCCAATTAGACGGCGAATCAGCGATAAATCAGCTCTTTCTTTAGCAGGAGGTAAGATCGTCTTTCCATCTTTTATTCTTCAATGATGTCATCTAAGAGGTGAGATTATAGAAATAGCGTCTTCGAATAATTCGAATTAATAGAGGAATCAGAATCGCATATTTCGCGTACCAGCATCAATTCTGTTATATCAAAATTAATTTTACAAAAGCTCTTCCGTTTTACCTGTTTCGAAGAAAATGGTTGATTACAAATTAGTATTATTGAAGACAAAATTTATATTTATATTTGCATAAATATATAACTAGTATAGCTCAAATATATAACTTAAATATTAAATATTAATGCATAATGTATAATATACATTCCATGTTGGCCGCTTATTAGTAATAAATCTTTTAGAAGAAAAGTACACGAATTTGGAAATATTGACTTTCTCTAATATTTTATTAATCAAACTTTTAAATTCAGCTATATAATATATATATATATATATATATATATATATATAGAAAGAGACAAATATATTATATAACACTATTGTTAGAATTTTCTGTCAGATAAATTTATGTTATTGATTGATATCCCTTTGCGATTTTTTATATAATGGTTCATATTTCATTTATTCATAGATATACATATATCATGTACCAAAGTCGTGATAATATACTGTAAATAATTTTTAGTTAAAATATTTTTGATATAACCATTTTCCGAACGTATAGCTTTAATTTGAGATGCATACAATAAGACCTTGGAAGTGGATTAATATCGTCTCAAAGAAAGGTGAAACGAAAGAAATGACAATTCAGAAATTGAATACTATTCGTAGGACTGTATGACGAGGGCATTGTAAGGCGCAGAGTATCCGTCGATAGATCTGGATTAGATATTAACGAAGGTAACGATAATACAAGATCATACTCGGAGTGATGCGAGCTTCGAAATACCATGAAAAATTTCTCATTTCTAATCAAACTCTTATTAAATTATTATAAACGTATTTAGCAAACAGAGATGATATGACATTTAAACATACACATAAATGATTAATAAATATTATTAAATCGAAGAAAGCATGAAAAATAAAAAGAATACGAATATATATGGAAAATATTTCTTGTTTGTGATAAACAATAAAAGTTTATGAAAAATGTATAAGATTTTCTCAATCTATAATAAAGTTAATTGCATAAATTATTTACTTTTGGCATTTCGAGGTTCGTCGCAGATTTATTCTCACTCCGACGAAATAAGAAAAATAATACCGATCCTGTAGCAAGTGCTCTTTACGGTCCTCTCTTGGTCTCGTGCCTCTTCCTGTCGTAAATTGTACCACACGCACAGATTACTTATGGTAGCGACTGTGTCACGTGATGCGACATTATTCGACACCTTGTTGGCGGTGTAGGACGAGCATAGGGTGTAGAGAGAGATACAAGGAATTTTATATGCGATGAGAAAAATAATATAAGATGAAAAAAAATTCTTACATCCGCCAGCTCGAACCTCTTTCTTATCGATGCTTTTGTTGTTTCCTTATTTCTTGTGCTGCCTGCCCTCCCCACCGTGTAGGGCTGCCCTACATGCTGGAGCGTGCTGGCCTTGACGTCCAACAAGGTACTGTCAACCTACTTTCCACGCTCCCTTTTGTGGCTTAAAGATTTTCTTGTGGAAGGATGTGTGCACCCTGCATGAGATCTCACCTCCCTCCTTATCTTCATCTTCACACATCTTCGTAGCACCGCATTTATCATTTGTAATTTTGCTGATAATTCCTAAGATAATTGAGATTACGAATATTCCAAAATCCCATGGAAATACTTGGGACTGGATAAATTGATTAATAGTTTATCATTTTCTAAGTCTATCATTTGCTTTTTCTTTCACGCGAAAAAGAGACAATCCATGTTTAAGCCATGTCAATTCATTGCAAATATATGCACACAAATTTTATTATTAATGCAACCTTAATAGGAAAATAGAAATTATTTATAATATATACTCAATTAACAATTGTTGCATATTAAAAATTATGAAAACTTTAATTTGGATTGGATTGTCTCTTTCCGACATCAAGTACAATTTTTTTCTTGCAAAAGCATGCATTTATAGATTTTTTTTCACAATTCTAAAAATCATATTATTATTTTAAAAATATCTTATTTCTATTCTTTCTATTACCATCAGCATTCTTTACGTACAATTTTTAATTGATTTGATTTATTATTTGTATTTTATATTTTCTTTAAAAATTCGTTGCTAAAAAGGTTTAAAATTGTAATCAGAAAAATAATTTAATGCAAAACATACATGATATATACAGTTCATTCAGCATTTAAAGGCAAGATTTTTATCATATGGTAATTTCATATGACCAGCACAATGTTTGCTTGTTTGTTGTGATTTCATTGTTTCAACCTTTTTGCGCAAAAATAATTACGATATAATTACTTTTGATCAATGATAAGAATATTAGTTCTCTCCTACCAGAATTTTTAATAATATAAGGTAAATGAAATTTATTGCGTCCGGTTTCAGAAATTCAGCGAAATAGGGAATTCTACAAGAATGCAGACGTCAGACCACCGTTCACGTATGCATCCTTAATTCGGCAGGTGAGTGGCTAATAAAATTATCAAAGGATCCTGCAGATATCACATTTTCCCATCGCGTTGTATTAACATTACTGGAATTATATGCTGGATTTCCTCTCACAACATGAAATAAATGCATCGTATTATTATCATTACTTTAGTAACTTCTTAAATATATTAAGAATTAATTTCCATTTTTTTATTATAAGCGTTACATTAAATATTATTATAATTTATAATAATCTTTTATGCTAAAAATTATACTTCTTAATTATATCATTATTTCTTAATTATCTAAATGCGATAAAATTTGTATTCTATTATTTATTAATTCGAGTTATTATATTTTATTAGAGAATTAGAATATTTTTTCGAATTATTATGTAACATCACTATGCAGAAGCGAAAGAAAATTTTATAGAAGAAAGAAAAGCAATATTGCTTACACAAGAAATTCTTATTTTTAATTTTATTTTTCTAATTTCTTGATTGTGAAATTTGTCTTAGAAGTACATCAAAGAAGTTGATATAATTCTAATGTTGCTCTTTTCATATAGTCTATCATTGAATCTCCCGAGAAGCAACTGACGCTCAACGAAATTTACAACTGGTTCCAAAATACATTCTGCTACTTCCGGCGCAACGCAGCAACGTGGAAGGTATATCTTATAATTTTAAATAATAATTTAATTACAATCGTCATAAAATGAAAGAAAATGAAAGGAAAATTAACTTTTAATTTAATAATCAAGAGATTCAAATTCATCATGATTTTAATTTTACGCATTATAGTTATTTATAATTATTTATTTATACAAGATGCAAAATATCTCGGTAAAGAATTAATTTTCTTATAGCAGTTTTAATATTTTCCATTAAAAGAAAAATCACGGCTATCTTTAATAGCGACAAAATGGAAATAATTCTTCTTTAACTGGATGCATTTAATGTGAATCTTCTTGTGCAAAGGGAGTCGCAAGAATAAAATGATTTGCATTTACGATCAGGTTAAGTTGAATGCGCTTAACTAGAAAGGGTATGAAAATCTCGTATAATTATATATATGTATTGATTTGAATTAACAGGCTAAGTGACGTGCCGGGCAGAGCAGCTGGTAATAGATAATAGTTGTGTTACTTTCTTAAATAGGAAGAAGAACTGGTAACATGTGAAATATGACATATTACGAATCATTTATGAGCCATCTATCATTATATTCTTCTCTATATTTTTCGTTCACAGATCACTCGATACCATCGCATATCAGAATAACAGTAATGCACCTAAATTAAAAGTCGGCTAAAAATTTAAATTATAATAGTGTAAATGGAATTTATTATCAAAAAGTTTTTATAGATAATTATTGCAATAATAATATATATTTTTATAAACGTATATATTAATTTATTTCATTTTTAAAAGTAAATTTTGCTGTTAATGCAACCTGGAAAAAATGCATTTTGAAAATAATTATAATGATAACGAATAATGATCATTTAATCCTAAACGAATTGACAAAAATAAAATTACCAACTATAAACGACCAATAATTAAAATTCCATATCACAGTTTGTACATAACATTTCAAAAAACAATGGAATATAATGTGCCGATGGTTCGTGATTGATTTTTAAGCCGACGTGACAATCCGCTTGTTGGCAAGAATGTTTGCGCGAGTGCGTTTTTCTTTGCGTGTGTGCGAGTGCGCGTGAAAGTAATTGACGTTTGCCATGACGCTTCGCCTCGCATGGTTATGTGTACATGAAGACATAAAGACGCATAAAAACAGGTTTACCAGGCGGCGAGCAGAGCAGAATCTGCAGCGAGATTTACACGCTGATGACGATGTCTTGGCGGCTATACGTCAGCGAGTGCAGCCCCGTTGAATTTTATTCGGCCCTGCGGCATGAATAATTGTTGTCGTTGCCCCTAGATTTAGATGATTAGCTGTGCATTAACGATATATAAAGGAATGCCACAAATCGTATCTCTTTCGATTAATCATTTTGGTTCGTTATATCCTCTTGCGGGCTTCGACGTCGCGATCTTATTGCCAATTTCCTTCTGTACTAACAGTGCTCATCATCATCATTGCCATCATCATCACCATCGTCGTCATTGTTATTATTGTCAACAGATATCGCGTTATAGTTATTATTGATTATCAGTTGATTAGACTTTCTGTATTTATTGTATTATTATTTTATATATATGTCACACGCATTGCGGATTTCCGTTCTCGTTAGCTGCCACCTAAAAAAATACTTGCCCCCGAGTTTTCTGAAATAATAAAACTAGTAATGCTTTTGAATAATAGCATTTATAGATAGATAAAACGCAATAGTATTACACAATACTATTACTTATGTAGTGATATGCAGTGCTTATTTTATACTTATCGTTTATACATTAATTTGTATTAATTTGTATTATATTTTTATTTGCTTAGCGCTTCTATTTTATATACGTCCTGCGAAAGAATTTTTCTTAGAATGTCGCGAATATTTATTAAGTTGCACAATATTATTTTTGGAAAGAGCTAATGCTATTCCGGAGAAAAGTAAGACCGATATAGCAGCATTTCTTGCCATACAAATCTAAACTTAAGGTGGCAGCATTGCTTACATTCTCAAGGGTTGCTGAGTGACCATTGCATCCATCTTTGAAAATAAAATGAGAAACCTATATTATATTAAAAATTTTTATATTACAAAAATTAAAAATTGAAATATTATCTTTGAACAATGAAAACATCTTATGAGCAAAATAGAAACGTATATTTTTAAAAAGTATTTTTTGTCTAATAAATATTATTTGTTAAATATATAAAGATATTTATATAGTTTATTTATACAAAATTGTCTGTTTATAAATATATCCTGGACGTATTTCTGACACTCTCAAAGATGGTTGTTATGAGCTCTTAAGAACAGCGTTGTTGAATAGATTATTTTAAATTTCACTCAACTCAATTATTATCTAAAATTTTAATCGCAATTAAAAATAAGATAATATAAAATGTAGAATATATAATAGATCAAAATATATATTATAAAACTGCAAAGCTAAAATCTATCGGATAAAAATAAAATTTCTTATTATATTTTACACAATATTCCTTTGGATAAATAAATTTTACTAGTTCCTTGTTAACAAATGCTATTATATCTTTTATATTGATATTTTACAAGTAACGCAAAAATTTTATTCATCATTAAAATTATCAATTTGCAATATTATAAAAGCATTTATTTCGCCATATAAAAAAGTTTCTGAAAAAAAAAAAATATATTATATAATACAAATTCATATAAATATATGTATATATGGAGCAAAAGTATATAACAGTTAATATGTTTATGCACGGATATTAATTTAAGATACTAATAGAAAATATGATAAGACATATTTTGATGAAAAATCCATCACATATCACATACTCCCATAAAGTATTTCATGTTTGAGCACTCGACGAGATCGTTCGCAACGCTGCTCGTTGGCACCTTGACAAATCATACGACATATGCACAATATCGCACGTTCTCACTTAGCGACTCTACTTCGCGTCTCGGTCTCACGATCATCATCCATCCTTGCCTCATCAGCGTGGCCGGTCATCGTCATCCGAGATGTCGAGGACTCTCCATCGCCTGCGTAACACAAAGCCATCATACATGCATACGCGCTCCATGATCCAACAGCCGTGATCCTTATATCTCCTCTTTCCTCCGCCGACTACCGGGGCCGTGATTGAGTTGGCTTCGTTCGTTTTTTGCGTTGCTTATTTAGTCTGTGTATTATTTTGTATAGAACGCAGTGCGACACAACCTGTCTCTCCACAAATGTTTCATGCGAGTCGAAAACGTGAAAGGGGCCGTATGGACGGTGGACGAAGTGGAGTTTTACAAGAGACGGCCACAGCGCGCTTGCAGCACGACCGGGTACGTTGCCCATCCCCATGCTCCATCGATCAGAAAAAAATATAATTACAACCGCGCTTTTTACTCTCTTTATTCTCTCTCTTTTACTATATCTCTCTGTCTTTTACACCAATATTTCTTATCACCTTCGGAGAGACCGACGGACTGAAACCTCCACCCTTTTTCCTTCCCTTGAGATGTCGGAGCAATAGTTTCTTTCAGATCACAAACTTCCTTACGATTTCACTATCTCCCTTTTATATGTCTATATTTCTTTCTCTTTCTCTCTTTCTGCCTTTTTATATATACTTATATATATACATATATATATTCACTTATTCGCTTTTACTCTTCTTATATTTATAGTCGTATCGTCATTCCCCCGCCCCTTATACTGCCCCCCCCCCATTTTTCTACAATTTTATATCATATTTATATAACTTTTTACATACTTTTTACATATTTTTATATCAATATTTATATACACATGTTTATATATACATTAAGAATATTTAATATTCTATCTTATATACATATAGCTCTTTTTATATATTTATATATGTATTTTTAATATTATATCTGTTTTATATATTATATATATATTTCCATATGCGATTTAAAGGCAAACGCACATTTCAGTGCGTTTATGGCCTTCATATGTATGTATACGCACATACACGCACGCTCTCCTGTGCATTTCTCTCTCTCTTTCTCTTTTTTAATCATAAGATATATTTAATCGCCTTCTCACGATATTCTACGTCGTGTGTTCCCTGTTTTACATTTCTCTTCATAGTATATACTGTACCTGTTTGTACTTGATACGTGCGCATTCATACGTATTGATCTGTGTGTGTATAAACCTTTTTATACACCTAAACGCCATAACAATCTTTAGTATACATCGCTTATGTCGTCTGTCTGTTTGCTGCTAATAAATTCAGTTTCTCGAGGTATCTTGTTTCAATAAATAGCTATCAGTCACTGCAAAATTATTTTTAGACCGAAACGTCACAGTTTATATTATGACATTAATATGCTTATCACATCTCGGAATTTTGTTTCAATCGATTAATGATAGATGGAAAATATATTTATATTTTTATAAATAAATCTCTATCTAACGTTTACACACATTTCGATTAATACTCGAGAAACTATCACTGTGTTTGAACCCGCGTGTGTGTGAACTTCTTACTTGCCCGTCGTCATGTGATGGTATAGTCGGCAGTCTGATGGGTGCGTGGATGTGCGTGAGAGTGCGTCGCCGATGAAAGAGCTGCAACAGATGAAAGGGGGAAAAAGAAAAAAAGATAGGAAGAGAGTTGAAAAATGCTAATCTCGTTCTTGAAGAACGGGGCAATCAGTAGTACGTCGTATGTGCTTTCATAACGAGCATGTGAGCTTTGCAGCGACTAACCCGATCGAGAACGGCAGGGCCAAGTCTATCTGGCCCAAGTCTAGTCTCGAAAGCCCGGAAGCCCGGAAGCAGAATTGCCCGGAACAGAGTGAGAACCGCAGTGTTGCACTTTGTCAGGTAGTGAGAGAATAAGCCGCCTTACTACATATTTATTACTACGTCTCTGTTTTATTTTCTTTGATTTATCCATCCCTTCTTTGCGAATCTGTGCTGCTGTTTGTTCTTTCTAAAAGTCGACGTTTCGAGATCATTCATGATGTGTCCCCGGCAACATGATAGAGCGATGGAGTTGTCGGTGCGAAAGACGCGCCGGGGTTAATTGGTGCATCCAGAGTCCGTCTGAGCATGACGGCAAGCGATAACTGGGGCACGCGCATATGTGAGGCTCCTCTCTGTTACGAAGAGTAGTGAATGGCGATGGGGGCCGAGCGCAAATTAAGAAAAAAAAAAAAAGAAAAGCGAAAATGTACGCGCAATCAACTGCAAAAAACCAGAAACCTTGTCTTTTTTACTCTCTTTTTCTCTATTTCTTGGTGGTCTTGTCTGTGTATACAGAACGCGATCCGCACCAATCTATCATTGCACAAGTGTTTTGTGCGCTATGAGGACGACTTCGGGTCATTCTGGATGGTGGACGACGCCGAGTTCGTAAAGCGGCGGCATCTGTCCCGCGGCCGCCCCAGGAAATATGACCCAACCCCATCACCCACTCCACCCCACCTCTCCGCACAGTAAGCACTACCACTTTTTAGAATTCTGCTGGCTGGCTGGCGCGACGTTGACCTTACCGCGGTACTTTTTTATGAACGCGGCGACCGGGACGTTTTCGCTTGGTCGTTGTCTACAAATTGAACCGCTAAATGGGCTTTCCTACCTGCTGCCTTTAAAAGTCTTGTGCACACTTACTAGAAAATTGTGCATGATTGCAGCTGTTATGATGTTTTATGTTTATATCTTGAAGCATAAAACAATCACAAAAAATTGTAAAAAAATTCTTAAAAAATCTTTGAAATAGTAAATCTATTCCATCGCATCATCCTTGCTATATAAACTAAATAAAAAAGTTTCAACGTGTTATATAATGAAATAGAGACTAGAATATACAAACAATATTTTTTAAAAATTTACATTTTATAAAATGTTTTGTTATAATACATATATATAATTTGCTTAATATTATATATATTTTATATTTATAAAAATAGATACGTTTTAATTTAATTTAATATTCATATTTTTTCTTCAACCTTTCTAATAACTTAAATTGTAGTATTTTAATTATAAATGCTTCATGCATCAGAACAATTTCTTAAATGAGATCTTCACTCTAAATTATCTATTATGATGCTAACAGCTGCAATTATAGATGTGATAATTAAATATATATTTTTTGGATCAGTTAGATTGTATAAAAATCATTTGCTATAAAATATCAATGTCTCTTTCATCTTTGTAATAAAATTTTTTTTTTATTTTTGAATTATATTATAAATTATATTGGAAATAGTATTGATATTAAAAATAATATTGATAAATACTTAATTATATTAGGCATTAAGGCAGCAGGAAGTAGCTCTATGCAGTTTATCCAATCCCTCTGGAAATGATTTCCGCATTATGCCTGCCTCAAGCGCCTTTAAAGACCGATTCCTTAAAAAATTGGACTAGTTTCATACCATTATTACCTTGCCCGTTTATTTGTTAAAAGTGTGCAATGTTAACTTGATTTTCGATTACACACACGAACACATATTTCTTAATAATATAAGCAGTTGTTTAAATGCAAAAAAATATAAGGTAAAATTGTATATATAACTTATATTTTCTTTTTTTAGGTTTTTAATTTTTTTTTTTAAATTTATCTAGTTTATTTATTTAATTATAATTATTACTATATATATACTATACATATTATATGTGCTGATACATGAAAATCAAATTTTCTGTGAAATTGAGATTTGTAAGATTAACTAAAGCTAAAAAGTTTGCTATATGTTTAAGCATTAATATATATGTGTGTACATGGTGTGATCTAAAATTTATATATATATATATATATATATATATATATATATAAAATTATAGTTAACTTTAAATAAAAAGTATCTAAATTTTTTTTGTCTCGAATTATTCGAGAATTATTAAACTCAACAGTTTTTTGCAGATTGACATTTAGCGGTATAGAGATTATAGACAGAAAAACTTTGTAAGTTTTATAGAGTTGAGTTTGAGAACGGATAAAAAGATTTTATTTATATAGCTAATTGTAAGTTAAAGTTGAAAATTTAGAAGCAGAAAAAAGATATTCGGCCAAACATTTGTGCTAACGAAAAATCAATTTTAATTTGATCAAATATATTATAATAAAAAAAAATATTTTACTCTATTTCCTATAAAAATCTTGTGCACTTTTGCAAATGACGGTCACGGTTTATAGGATATTCCCGTATACATGATTAGTATTGTAGCTTAAAAATTCTTGCACTTCGTGATAGCTTGAATCCTGCACGGTCCTGTAGAACACCAGCATCAGGACGATTGGTCAGAGATGCGGGATCTCTAATGTACTAATTAGCCTTGCATGAATTACCATGGATCCTTGACATTCATTTCCCGATGAAGCCCTCTAAAACTGTCCCGCCTAGTTTGAAAACACTGCTTATAAACGTATGATGCTTAATGTGATGCTGTTTGTAATCTCTCGTGTGAAAGTGGTGTGTGTTTGTGCGGGCAAGCGTTCTTTTGTGTTGAAGTTTTGCTCTTCCGTTTCCGTCTTTGTTCCGTCCTCTCATAATAGCAGAGAATTACTTTTCTCTTCTTTTGCCTAGAATTGCCATGACGTTAATAGACGTTTGTAGTCTCTTATGTTCTTCATTCTTCTTATTTTTGATCGATTTCCACAGAGTGTCGTAATAGCATCCCCTGGCAAAGTTTTGTTTCTTCAATTTTTATCGATGCGAGTTTCTTTGCAAATCGATGCAATTCTCAACTAATAAATGTCTTAGAATTATATGCTAACGTTTGTTAGATGCACGCCTAAAAATTTTTCAATTTTAGCATATAATTTGTTATAACTATCTTAAGAGGCGTCTTTCATATAATGGTTAATTGTAATTACATTTAAAAATAGATATATGTGAGAAAGATTTTTTTGGACAAAAGCAAATTATAATAATAATTAAAGTTAGAAACTCAAAAAAGTTCTCTATCAAACAAAATATTCTTATGTTATGTATAAAATGTTTCAATAATTGATTATTAATTATTAAAAAATAAAACAAATAAAGTTGAGATTTGCAGTATAGATTTTAAGCATCTTACATTATCTTGCTTCCGCAATGAGCGAATGGTTCTTGATCTGAGTGACTATGTGTCAGAGCTATTTGCGCATGTGTAAATTGTGTATACTGTGCGTTATACAACTATATTCCTCGAGTGGAATTCTTCAATCTTCATCGAGCGACTCGTCTTGTATCACAGGTATTATATGGGACTCAATATATAATCTCAGTAATATTTAATAATTATAATTCTTTAAATATATTTATTGTTCAACTTTAATACTTTTTAAAATTTTATCTATTCTTATTCAAAAAATCTCTTAACTTCTCTCTCTTTCTCTCTCTCTCTCTCTCTCTCTCTCTCTCTCTCTCTCTCTCTCTCTCTCTCTCTCTCTATTCAAAACTCTTCCTTCTTCTATCTCTATTTTTACAATCTCTTTTCTATCTATTTAGCGCTTCATATAACTTGATAAACGGTCACAGGAAAATTTTTTTCTTATCTTTTTCTTCGCATGCATTTTTCTCTCGGAACAAGATCTCTGACGATGTATATTAAAACTGGATACATTTGTCCGGTTATTTGATGGTATTTCTTATAAAGAATACTATGAAAAAAGTGTTCTTTTTACCAAATGTCAAAAGAAAAACCATTGGTCAATGGTCATTTAATTAAATCAAGTATGTATTACACGATTTTACAAAATAACACAAGTGAAAGGTAAGCACAGGTAACCTAGTGACCGTTTATAAGTATATTTGTTTCGAAACTGATGTAATGTTATATTAAAAATAAAAGAAGAAAAGAAATCGACACAAATTGATATAATGTCATTTATGAAGTTTCGAAACGGGAGCGCTTTTTTATACACTTTTCGCAATTTTTATCTAATCTCACTCAATCACCAATGAACCGATACTGGAGGGCAAACTGTAAGAGGCACTGTGTAAATAGGTAAGAGTTTTTTGAACTCTTTTTTCGCTCTTTTTTAATATCTCTTTTTGATATATATTTATATGTATACATTTTTCATATTTATATAATTCTCTTTGTCTCTCTTCTCTTCTACTTTACATCTTCTCTATTTCTCTATCTCTTTCTCTATCTCTCTATCTTTCTCCTTTTGTCTTTATACGTCTACATATCTACGACTTCAATACATGCACAAACACATGGTCACAATATACAGCCTACTTTAATTCCCCTCTCTTTCTCGAATCCGTTTTAACATTGACACAAATTTAAAAAAAAACACATACGCGTTTTGTTTCAGGAAATACGCATGGCTGAATTTCGAATATTATTAACATATTTTTCTCTGTCAATATCTAGGGGCGTTCCATCGAAGAGTCCAACTCTAACGCACAGTCCTACTATGTACGGTGATGCGCTTAATGCCAACCTGCAGGTAACTATTAATAATTAATTTAGCGTAAAAAATTTCTTTCATAAATAACTTTTACGTCTACCTTGTTAATGTCGTGATTAGGTAAATAATATTGAATAAAAATATTTAATATTAAATGAATTACCCTTTTCTGAAGATTAGAGATTTTACGAATTTTCGCATACTCTCATGTTTTTGAATAAAATTTTAGTAAGCTATATTAATTAGAAATTTATTGCTGTAATACTTGATAAGATAATAAATGTATTAAAAATTGATAAAAAATATTACTAATATCTAAGTGATTAGATATTAGTAGATTTTGGTGTTAAATCGGTAATAACTAACCATCTAATGCAATTTGAGTATTTTCAGGCGCTCGGGGAGTCTAATATGGGATTTTTAAACAATCCGATGTGCACGTCGACAGCGACAAGTCCCGATAAGGAACATGTGTTACCTCATAATGATTTAATGTAAGTGATTTATACAAATGCATAACTCGTTCATTTCTTTGAATGTTTTATCAAATATATTTTATCTATATAGATACATTTTATTAAATTTACAAAGAGTTGTTAGAATCCTCGTAATGATTCTTTCGCGTTACAAAATACTCGTATTTCCGTATCTGCATATATCTACATTTTTATATTCTTACAACATTATTTCAGCTTATAAGTATATTATCACGTGCGTTTAGATTATTCATTTTTCATTCAACACCGTGAATTTTTCGTTTTCATTCGCGGATATATTTACGAACGGTTTGTACAATTCCATCGCGCGCGGTACAGAAATCGTGAAAAAGCCACTTGTTTTCGTGACTCACTTTCGCGAAACACAAACTATTCGTTGCTTGACAAACCGCTTAAAACCGCAGCAGCGAAACAATCCCGGAAAAGCGAAATCGTTATTCTCTCGTCGGCGCGGTACAGGAAACGTGTTGCTAAAAAAAATATCGCTTTGCGTGTGTTGGCATCGCGCTCTATGAAATACATACGTCAATATACTGACACGCGGCACTCGCAAGTTTTTCACTCATGAGCGTACACAACGCGCGTTCGCGCGTCTCGTCGATTCAACAGGTCGCCGCTGGATGAACCGGCCATGCACATAAAACAGGAGAGCCAGAGCCCGGAAGGAGGGAAACACACGAGATTAATAAAGCGCGAGCTACCGGACGGTCCTATGGAACAGGAGACGGAGGAAGATCAGACGGACGATAGAGAATACTCGGAGAGCCACGGTCACGATTCCGGCCAGGACGAGGACATGGCGGAGGACCTATCGATGGCACCTGACATAATGATCCCGGAGGATCAGGTCGAGGCGTAGTATCGCTTCGTCGTGATAAACCAGTAGAAACGAGATATGTACAAGATGTCCCGTTTATTCCGGTCATGAGAGGAGGAAACTCTACCCTCTGGCTAGAGTAAAGACGGTAGGCTGAGAGAAGAAGAAAGAGGGAAAGGATGGGAAAGCAGAGAATAACGGAAGCGAAGAGGACGATGAAGACCCCCAGGACCACCCACCCCCTCCACTTCTCCTTCGTACGAATCCCCCTCAACGTATCATATCTGTACCGCGACACCCCAATCGCGGTTTTAAAATAACGAGAAGGAGGCAAGCGCGAATGTGTTTGAGAAAAGACGCTGAACGATGGATGATGACAGTGACGAGCGTACCACCGGATGATGTTAAGCGTGAAAATCTCGGCGATATTCGGGGAGCGATCCTTCGATCCATATCCTTACTCAAGCAATTGCGAACAACGATGTATTTTATTTTCCTCTCGATCTTTTCCGTTCCGGAGCCGCGGTTATATCTCTAATAGATATATACATAAATATATACATATACATATACATATATATCTCTCTCTCGTGTACATTGCATTAGAAATTAATGTGACGACAGTGAGGCACCGCGCACAGGGCGCGCCTTACCGGCGAGCACGTATGTATGACAGAAAGTATTCTTCGCCGGAGGAACCGATGTAGCCTCGCGATTATACATTTGCGTGAATATGCATACCGATATGCGTGCATAAATCAAATTCGGACAGCAGTAATTCGGCAATGCATCAATAAATCTTCAAACTTTTTTGCATTAAGTTGCACCGAACTGATAGCAATATAATTTTTGCTACAAATAAAACTCTTACGTTAAATTGAGAAATTAACTATATGTATATTAATACAATCTACTGTATATGTTTTTATATTTCCAAACAATAACATTATTTTTATTTTGATTATGCAAATAAATTATAAAATGAATGAAAAAAGAATAATTAAAAAACTTTACGTGGCTTTGCGAAAACATATTACATACTGTTTGACGCGAGAGACAATGTGCTTGTCTCGACGAGCTCAGATTCAAATTTGTCGATAAACAAAAAGTGAGAATCGCCAGGAAGCATCGCGCGGTTCCTTCCAGAGAAGAGAGTCGATCAGAGAGTCCGGCGGGATTGAATCTAGGAAATAAATCGATGAAGCCGTGGTGGTGGTGGTGGTGGTGGGTACGTACGGGAGCGACTGAGTTTAGTCTTTAAGTTTAGGCGTTCGTTTTTGACGAATGAAGAGCAATGCTAGTACTATTCTCGCGATTAAGCGGGTCCTACCGTCTCGAAGAGGCCCAGTATCAGACAAGTTAAACTAAGAATCGCATCCGAGTGACAAGACCGGATGCGTCCCGGCGTACCCGTCCGCTACTGTTGGTAGCACTCTGTATAGTCTAGCAAAGTTGAACGTAAGTAGTTTCGTATTCATTAAACGGTAATTAACACGCTCTCGAACCGAGAGACACGGTCGAGATATTTGTAAATGAGCGCTACGATACGACAAACACGCGCGCGACGATCTTTCAAATTACTTTCCGATCGAGCCGGTCAGGAATCCGTGATGCAGAACGATATATGATATAGATGAACGTAGCTCTGCGAGACGATCGATGAATGTTACGAACGGGGATAAGTGGGAAGATCGCTAACGCGACGTTTTATATTTACATATATGCGTATACATTACATTATACGACAGATAAAATTTCAGATCTTACGCAAATATTAGCAGTTTTTTGTACGATGTATTTAACTTGGCCGTTTCTATTATATTAGGTATAAGATAGACTCAGCATCCCGTGGCGAGATGGTGCTTTTCAAGTTCCAATGCATTGAAAGCTAGTATTTCAACGTTTTGGATAATTAACATAAAATTTCGAACTGTTAGGCATTGCGCGTTCAAGAAGATTATATTAGAGTTATTAGCACTTCCTTCTGTGATACGTGACGGATATAGTAAGACCTCTATATTTAATTATATACATATAATATATATATAATTAAGGGACTTATATATACGTTACAAATCGTTTTTGGTTGCTAAGTCTATTGTATATCAATATTATATCGATCAATTACAGGCAATTAATGTGTGCCACACGCTATTGAGATATATGTATGGAAAAATATTACATAAAAAATGCTAAGGTATCACGTTAATGATCTCCCTACTTCTCTAAACATGAAGTCTATAAATAAAGTACACTATGTATGCATATATACATATATTAATACGTATACGTATCGAAATTATAAGGAATTAGATGTCGATAATCCTCTCCATCAAACTTTTTTCCCCCAATCCTCGTCCAATCCTAGTCCTACTATATAAACACACCAATCGAGGCCAGTAGATTTCTTCTAAAGAGTGCGTGGTCTCGAAAACAAGTATAGAAAATGCGCTCATATCGGTACTAATACTTTGAATTGTTCACAGTCTACCGGTAACACGGACAATTCAAATCTGTCTTAAGATATCAGTGTATTTTTTTTATCCCCATATGTGTTTAACGATAAATGTTTGTCGTGCTTAGAAGCTGATTTAGTTGCCATCGTAAAACGCCTATAATATCATCTTTACACAGTGACTGATGGAGATGGAAAGTATAATTATGTATTTTATTAGGTCATAACGCGAGACGATTATGTGCAATTTGAAAAATTATTATTTGCACAATTTGGGAAAATAATGCAAAGTTATATTTTGTGCCACAGAATATTTCATTTCAAGCTAAGTAATTTTGCTGCGTTGTCAAATATCGTGAGAATTTTTTTGAGACAAGTTTAGAAGAGAACTTTATATTTCCACGTTTACTTATTATCATAGTTATTCAATCTTAGAGTTCCGTTGTAATTAATATAATTTTATTAAACGTTATCGTATATGCGTACACAGGATTAATAATGAATATTAATATTTCAATGAAGATACAAAAAAATATATAGAGTATGGCAGTTTATGGATTTTCGCAATGAGTTTATCAAATGCTAAAATAGCGTTGTCAAAATAGCAACGTATATTCAGATCATCCGCATAATGACTCTCAAGGCGTGAAATTTTTTTTTCATAAACTTCTATATTCTATGACATTCGGAAATATTCAATTTTATTACCTTAGATAAATTATCTCGTCTCTGTTTATCGAGATAAACAAATCCTATTTCGGGAAAATAAACTATAATACAGTGCGAATGTACGGATTAGTGTTTCTGTAACAATCAAATAAAAATAAGAAGATTGCAATATTATTGATATAATACAAATATTGTGAGTTTTATATTTTCAAATTTTCGATATTTAAATCAACTAAACTTGTATGTATAATTCGAGTAAATCTTTTCCATCAGCGATCTGCAATTCTGCAATTTCTATTATTAAGAGAGACTTTACATTTTATATTTCTAATACATATATAGCATCAAATCGCTTTATTTACTTTATTGCAAATATTATTTCATCATTCATATCATTTTCAAGAAAAAATATATATTCTAAAGTCTTAATTTAGCAAACATTTTTTTATGTTCACAGTCACAATTTATATTATTAAATATTATTATTTGTCAATGAATGATTAAGTAAATATTACAAAATTGGAAACAGCTATTTTATTTTCCAAGTTAAAAATAATTTAAAATTGATTGAGTCCCAACTTTAATTAACAAAACATACATATCTGCGTTATGAGGCTTGACAAATTTGTCGCTGAATAATTTAAAACACGAAACTAATGCATATACTTGTCTTGAATGTAAATCTGCAGGGTTAAGGAATAATTAAATCACACGCGCGCGGATAAAAGGAATAAAGAAAAAAACACAAAGAGCGAGAGAGAATGGGAGTATGTATGTGTATGTGTGCACTTGTGCAGAATGCCATAATAGTTCGGTAACATCTCTCGTTTACCGATGAAACTTGCGAGTTTGGGCTCGCTTTCGCGTATGGTACTATTAATAATCTAAGTCTATATGTATTATGAATTATAAGAACTTGATACATACACATATATACGCATATACACACACAACAAACACACATACAAAATATAGAGAAAACTCCTCTGTAAATAATTAAAATTATCGAGGCATTAGGAATTTGCGCATATGTCATTTGTGAATGATTGAACCGATATCGCGGCTTGTGCGTGCGTATACATACGTGTGTATGTGTGTGGATGTAATTGCATATATGTGAGTGCACGCGTATATTCCGTATCCCGTCTGCATTTATAATTTCGACTCGAGATCACGAAATTTTCCTCCTGGGAGAATAACTCGATGGAAGACATTTTCTCGTTTTGCCGGGTGAAACGTTTGTCACGTCGCAAGAAAGAGCGGGCCTATCGACTGGAAAATTAATTAAAATATAATCGGTTAATTGATCGATCATGCGCCGCGTCGCGTGACGTGTCCTGGGCGAGCTCCGCTCAAACACGTATCTATTTCTGTATCTTTTTGTATTATAGTGACAATGTTAAACACACACAGATGCTTTATTACTAATGTTTTTTTTTGTTATGTTTGTTTTAATGAGAGCAAATTGAATTTATTAGATTTACGCGGGCATTGCGATCGATCATTCCGATATGGGTATTCGGACGAATCGATTACATATTTCATTATTTTGCTTACACAATGCTCTAGAAATTCTAGCTATTCATTGTGCCGCGTATAGAACTTTGTTGATAAAATGCTCGAAAATAATTACTGATAACGAACCCGATAAGCGATCACGGCTCCTGATGTATCACTTGAACATTTTATTATTTTGCTCTGATAATATAATAAATAGCGATGGCGATTCTCTGCAATTATATATCAGATAAGATCGAAGTATCCGACGTGAACTGTGCCAAATCGATGCAAATTTTTATTTAATGAGTGAATCAAGATATAGTAGAGAAAAACAAATCGTATTAAAAAAGAAGGAAAACTTTTTCCTGAAAGAAGAAAACTTTGTAAACTTTTTGTCAAATTCTTCATCTTTCACTGTAAAACTGTTGTAGAGAAAAGCAGTATGACATGCCGACAAAATAAACGTATAAACGGTTTATTATATTTTATGGAATAATTAAGTATTGTTATACATAAATTATATAATGTCCGAATAACAATTTCAATGTACTGCACAGCTGTGATTGAAACGGGCATATTCTTGTGTGACAAATTTTATCGCGTCCTATTTAACGTTCTCACGAAAATATGTACATAATACATCATACTGATTCTCATTAAATAAAGTATTCCCTTGCAAGAAAATCAAACGTGTTACAATAATGTTTAAACGATTTTAAAACATAAAAAATATACCTCTATAATCTGCCATCGAAAAATTTAGAAATTATTTCTTCAGCGTCTACATTTTTTTAACTTTTTTTGTTCTTTCGTTATCATTTGTAATAACTTATGTAAAAAGAAAAAAAAACAAGGAGATTGTTATCGCAATTCGAGTTCTCATAAAAATTACGCATTTCATGAAAATTGACCGTATATAATCGATCGAATAGGAGACCGCCGGCACAAGTTAAAAATTATTACAAAATCTTCTAGAACGTTTATTGTCTGAATTACTTTGTTAAGTATTTGTATGATAAGTTGCCTTGTAAAAATGTACCGATTTTACTAAGAAATTAAATGTGTTACTGAAAGAAAACCATGCACAAGTTCTCTTCAACTGTTTTTATCAACTTCCGTTCTTTACGTCGAGAATGGTAATGACGGAGCGTAGGAGTAGTTGATTAAAAGTAATAATTGTAAGTACCAATAAATTATAATTTTCACCGTACTTTCTTTGTATAAGACTGATATCGTTTGTATAATGCTTGATAATCCCATTAGACGTATCGAGATTTATATACGTAAATTAATGTATCTAGGGAATATATGTCTATATATAGATTGCAGGAAACACTTATATCATACTGTAAATAGAGAATTTACGAAATCGCATTTTCTAGTTCGATATAAGCGTTAGTATTAAGATCCTAGCTAATATAGAATTATCTTGAAAGGGTATATACTTAATAAAACTGCGATATATAAAACACAAGAACCTTATGCTCTTTAAGAATTCTGTTTTCAAATTCCCTGTTAATGCATTTAATAAAGGGATCTTAAACACTTCTTGCTACTTGTTATCACTTTCTGCGCGCGCGCTTTAATGCTTTTTATTATCTTTTTATTATTTCAAGTACTTATCATTATTAAAAAATTTTATATCGATCTATAATTCTTCTATTACTGAACAAGAAAAAATATTTTTCTAACATCCATTTTGTTTATTGCCAAGATATATAGATTCTCATTTATGACCACATCTTACATCAAATGTGATCATGCATGTAATTTTGAATATTATATGTATTAGATTGTACATATTTATCAGATTCACCATTAATGACAGCGATCAAATTAATTATAAGACTTGGACGATCACATTTAATACTAATTGTGGGAGGTAAATTTGAATTATAATATTGATATGTTATATGTTTATATGGTACATATAGACAATTGGAGATATAATTTAATACAATATAATAAATATCATAAAATAATACATTATAAACTTGTCATAAAATTATAATACTGATGCTTAAATATAAAATTTGGCATCAGAAAGGTAAAACGAGATGAGGAATAAAAATATTATCTACAGTTGGAATTTTATCAGCTGGCACATAATATGCTATTATTTTTAATTTAAAAAAATCTGAATTTACTGTAAATGAAATGCGAGGGTATTTCTGCGAAGCTCTAATATTTTGTTATTTCTGTTGAAATGTAGCCTACTTATTTCGAATAATTCAACACGTGCTGCATTTCAAATATTTATATTACCTAGCATGCGTGTCTTGGTCTATTATTTTGTAATCTGATGGCAACATTTGTATGAAAATAGCAGAGTGTACATACAATATTTTATCAGTGCCTACTGCTATGGCTGAAATATTCTCCTTTATTATAATACAATAAAATTGCTTATATTGTATGATTCCAGCGAGAAATGATAATTAAATCGACGTTGAATCGATGTCAAATTGGTCGAATCGATGTTGATTCGACCGATCATTTCTTACTAGGATGTGTTTATTAAATTTGTTATTTGATTTAAAAAAATAAAATTTAATAATGTATAACAATGTGATAATCAAGCTCGTATCAAATGAAAATTAATACAATAGAAAAAGGCTTTTACACGAGCAAATATGGATGAATATGTATAATTACTGTATTTAAATATAAATTTTACAATAAATTCATGCAAGACGTTTCGTCACTTACTTGTGACTTATCAATCGCTAAATGTAATACAATTACATATAATAACAGTCTATAAATTTCATCTTAAAGCTATAGTTGTCTTGTTGGCAATGTAAAATATATTAATATGTCCATGTTCTTCGTATTAATTTCGGTGGTCGGTAATAATTAATATTCAATATCTTTTTTATTTTTTGCCTCGATCTCCATAATAGTGTGTTATTCTTTATCGACTATTAGGCTGAATATCACAAGTAAGTGATGAAACGTCGTCTTGCATGAATTTATTGTAAAATTTATATTTAAATACAGTAATTATACATATTCATTCATATTTGCTCGTGTAAAAGCCTTTTTCTATTGTATTAATTTTAATAATGTAATTTATTACAAAAATAAATATTATAGAATTATCATAGTTAACATTCAGAGTTAATCAAGAATATATTTTTGCATCCATGTATTATAATATATATATATATATATATATATATATATATATATATAGTTATTAAATTAAGCAATCTAGAAATTCGCGTAATCGCTGCTAGTATTGGAAATCAATTCTAACATTATCACAGATTTAAAAAAATTAACAGTGCTTACAAATAATATATTGCAGTGCGCGATTGTCAAGTTTTTATAAGCAGAACAGCAATGATTTACAGTATCAGGCCAATATTACAATTGTACAATAAACTTTTGAAATACATTAATTGACTATATACAAAATAGAGACTAAAGAAATTTTCTATATTGCAGCCAATCAATGCGTTTAAAAAGTTTGTTGTATGACAAATGTAATATCGGTCTTAATATAAGATATATGTATGTATAGTAATAAACTGTTCATTACTGTTTATTACTATATTTTATATTATATTTACAATACTCTTATATCCCTTTGGTCTTAATGTCAAATCCTGTTTGCATAGCTATTTATAGTTGTTATTAGATAAAAATTTTTTATATTTTTTTAAACAAGAAAATTAGCATATTATAAATAAAAGTTGCATCAATTATAAGTTATTTTCTTTTCGTAGTTCATATCTGATGAAACAAAAAATGAAGGGTACATCATCGTTGGCAATTAGAAAGAAATTCGTCAGAATGCTAAATATAAAATGTATTACGCTCATTCGTTGTTTTTTTGATGATCCATATCACGCAAATGTTTGGATAATAATTCCCATTTAGATGTCAATGGAGGCTTGTCTAATCCTTGAGTGTTAACTTCCTCTATCAAATTCATTAAACGAATAAAAAATTCATTAAGCTTTCCAGCGGTGCCGCGTCGTAGTTTCTGAAAATGTTTATCTGAAATGCAAATGTTCTCATTATCTCCAAATTTGTGTTATAAATATATCTTGGAATTCAAGATGTTTCGAAAATATCAGTGATAAAATAATGAATATGAATCTGCCTACTGTCGTCATAAGACGCTATGATTATTGATGCTGAAATATAAATAGACTAAAAGTGGACTGTAGTATAAATCAATATTTGAGTATTCATGACATGTCGCAAACCAGGATATAGAAACGATGAGTAGAGAACAAGCATTCCACACTTTACTTTAAACACATCTTTGAGCAAATACTACTTTTGAAAACTATCTATTGTATTATCTTGATATATAATTATGTATGATCTATAAACTAGCACGGTTAATAGAACGACCGAGAAATAATTGGTCGAATCGGTTTGACGTTGATTCGACTAATTTGACATCGATTCGGCCATCATTTCTCGCTAGGGATATTTCAATATATGTTACATACATAACTAACTATTTCATTTATAATAATGTACATATAATTATAAATAAAAAATACATACTTGAAGGATGAAAAGAATTTTTAATCCAGATTGTTTGTTGTGTCAAAGCTGCCATAAGTCTTTTAGTAATTAGACTCTGACTCTCTGTTGTCATAGGCCTTAAACGAGTAACAAATCGCAAAAGGTATTCTAATAAGTATCTTGTACAGACGGGCAGTTTTCCAAGACACTTCTGCGGCTTTGAATTCCACACGACAATATAACTAAGACTGTCAGTATCAAGAAGCGGGTGTTTAAGATTTTCCAACCATTCGAACAGCAGTGTTGACAATATCTCTAAATTAGTTTCCAATTCTAATCGTTGCCAGGCAGTACATCGATGATTCAAATCACTCTAAAAATATTTTTTTAATAATAATACTATAATATTAAATGTATGCAACCTATTGTTAAATATGTATTATTTATTATTTTATTATATTATATTTATTATATTTAATGTATTATTATGTATTATAAATATATAATGTTATTAACGTGCCATTATATTATAAAAAACTGTAGTTAAAAATTAATTATTATTATAATATTATCGAGTAAATATGTCATATCATCACGTTTTCACTAATTGTTTTATTAATACTTATGTAAAAGATGAAAAATATTTTAATTTTTTCTAGAAGAGAGAAAGAGAAATAATGTATTAGTTTTCTAATTAATATGTGCAACACAGATAATTGTAGATGATATAATAATCAAAACTGTACAATTCATAATTTATTTTGCGATTTAACTATACTAAACATTAAACTGATTTATTTAGTTAGAAATACATATATATGTACATATGTGCGTGTTTTAGATAAAGCATATAAAGATCATGTGCCATTCACTATTCACGATTATAGAATATTTATAAACACAGAGATATATATCGTGTATGGAGCATTATTAATAAATGAAAAGTATGGTTTGAAGAATGTGAATAATTCTATTTATTTGCAATGTTATAACATTAAAAATTATATTCTCATGCACACGTGTAAGTACCTGATAATCATGCAAACGTTTCTTTATAGAATCCGGAAGAGAGGCGCTATTTCTAATAAATGCTTTGATAACTTCCTCAGCAGTCACCGTCTCATAATCATTACGGGCGACATTTCTTAAATCCATATGTGACTGAATTTCCTTATAACAATCATTATCAAATAAATCCTGATCGTGAATACCATCACCTAGGACATCGTCTACACAATTATCGTCGAGACCTGTCGCATAAGATCATACTGTCAAATATGCATACTATTTTAGCAAAATAGATTAAATAATCAAACATCTTGAATTTGTCAATAAGAGACCTGCAAATATAGAATCACAGGAAGGAGTATCTGGTGACATACAAAATACATCGCTCAATCTTCCTATATCATCACAAGTATCCCGAGATGATCCTTGACTACTATTGCAAGCTTTAGTGGATGCTGTAATATATATAACTTTCTTATATAGTATATAATATTTCGAAATATATATATATATATATATATATATATATATATATATATACCATATACACATGTTAAATACTTTAGAATACATTATGTATACAATAAATACATTAAAATTAATCGCAATAAAGAAATATGTTTAAAACAATAGTATATTATATATATATTTTACTTTCAGTTTAAATTAATAAAAACAAAATTATTGCAAATTATATATATAGATCAATATAGAGATCGATTTATAATATCGTATAATAGAGTTGTAGGCCATAACGAACCATAATTCAGTTATTTAATCGGATAATCTCTGGCACGGATGGAGGTTAATTGGATATTATAAGATTACTTAATTACTAATGCGTGCAATATTTCTCACTTGAATATTCGTAGGATGAGTCCGTAAGGGATTCCGCCCATGAATAGGAGTGCCGTATATTGCCCGTGCCATCACGGAATTTTTCCAGCACGTGGCAGATAAATTTCTGTGTGAAAGGCACATTAGAGACTATATATGCAATTTCGGAAGGCGAATTGTCTTCTTGGCAATCACAAAGCTGTAGTATCCGTTCGCAAATAATGAAAATAATCTGAGAAATTTCAGCAATTAGATAACTGTATGTCTCGTCTAACAATAAAAATAATTTTAATAATAACCATTATAACAATTAAATTAACAATTAAACATTAATAATTATTTATGGATTTATATATTATTAATATAATACTATTGTAAGCCATAAGAGAACTTTAAAACAAATATTGTTTTATACTTTATAACAATATTATAAGATTAAAAATATGTACGTATGTATGTCCTCAAAAAAATTAGCTGTAAAAATAATTTAATTTTTAAATTGATTTTATGAATAATTCCAACACAACATTTTTCACTCTAAACAAAAAATATAATTTAAATTTAATGCAATGCATCAAACTAAATTTAAATACAGATAAATAATATTTAATTATAAACATTAAAAACGTTCATAATGTTACATAACTATTAAAAGCAAATGCATCGTACTTTTGGAATATGCTTAAAATTCCGCTGTTCATATCCATGAAGCATGTTGTACTGCTTTTTCAGGTATGTTTGAAGACTGTAGGGTTTGCGATCCCCGGTTGTACTGTGTAAAGGAAATACTATCATCTGCGGAAGCACGAAGTGCTCGAATTCCTGAATACAAAGTATCTGTCCGCGTGTTTGTATAGCGGACGGGCGTTTCATACGGACAAATCTTATAGCATCGTTTGCCCTCACACGAAGACTGTAAATAAGGTAGCACGCGATCAAAACGCCAGTTCTGCCAAGACCTGAAAGTTCAATACTTTCCACAATGTTTCCTTATTGTGGGCCTAAAATTGCTTATTTATTATACAAATACAAGTAAGTAAGTTGTATAAAATAAGCCAAAAATTATAGCCAAAAATTATAATTAAGAGATAACATAAAAATTATGTAAATTTTTATATACCATATGTATATGCAAAAATAATCAATAAAACTGTGCTTATCAATCTGTGATCATCTTTTTCTCAAATAAAGAGGAGCGATTTCTAGATTATATAAGATCTAGATAATTCTAGATTATATAAGATCTAAAAAGAGATCGTATTGAAACAAAAGTTCATCATTTATAAGTGAAAGCATTCTTCAATCTCTTTTAAAACTTAAGAATTAGAATTGAAAGATTTCTCATTATAGATTCCTAAGAGTAGTCACGTTAATTAACTGTGTTAACTATTGTAACTATAGTCATCACTTTATTGATAAAACATTGCCTTATCGATCCTACGTTATTTGCAAAATTTTATAAATTAGTATAAGCATTAAAAATAAAAAAACTGTGAATTGTAATTGCGAAGCAGAAAATAAAAATTTGTATGTAATGACATACTTGCTGAATGATATAATATACGGCTGATTGATGTAAATTAAAATATTGGAATCTTTTATATTTTCCTTTTTATAAAGTTATGTAATATGCGCACATATTATATTTCTGGAATTACAGAATTCTAACCAAGCCATAATAAAGCGCAATAACATCGATGTGAATAAATTCTGCGTAATTGAACTTGATTTCTTAAGTAATTTAATTTGATTATATTCGCATTGTTATTTAATAATCCTTTTCTGCTGGAGTTGATCTTATTAAATTTACAAAATTATGTCAATAAAAAAATGTTAAAAGAATTAAAATACATTATATATCAGTTTCGCAGAAGTCAAAAGCACTTGAATGAATATAATTATGAATAATTAATACTTTAATAGAGCAATTAATTTTGCGATATCTTCAGAGTCACAAATTAATTATCCTGTAACTTTCATTAACTAAATGTGAGCTATAATATTAATTTTTATGATTGTTAAACTATCTGTAGAACAACCTTTACGGGAAAATCAATTGATCGATTTAAATGGGTAGTTATCCTATATAGTGCCACTTTGAATAATGGTATGGTTCTAAAATACATCTCTTTAATTATTGATTGATAAAATCAATAGAGCTTATATATTTTTCATATTTTAATCTATTATATATTAATATAATATTATATTAATATAATATATACATTAATTAATATATATTATTAAATATAATATAATAAAAACATATCAATTAAACATTCGATAAAAAAATACGATATGTGTACTTGTGTCGAAAAGACTAAAAATTTGTAAAAAAAATATTTTAGAGAAAATATAAATGTATCGAGATAAATCTAGTTTTAAACAAAATTATATTTTATTACTTAAAATAAAAAATGTATAACTTTACAATATTATATATTTCATAATATTATATTTTGGCAATGAAACAGAAAATCTTAATTTCTTGCTTAAATTTTGTTTTCAATTATGCAGCTACACTTAATTTTAATAACTGTTGCGCGTGGTTTTTTCTGAAATGCTCCTCTAAAGTTACTTTATTATGTCTAATATAATTTAAATCTGATTATGTAGTAAAAAAATTACAATCTCATAATTCTAAGATATACATTTTTAATAACTGCTAAAAAATTATTGATAAAAACTGCTAAAATAAATGAAAAATAAAATCCGATAAAATAAAATTTTTTCGAATTATTCCTACCTTATTCGTATTTTATAAAAACTTATCATATATTGAAATAAGTACATGATAAAAATTCAAATTTTTATGGCATACTTTATATTAAAATTGCATATTTGGAATTACACATTTTTCATTAGTCTCAATTTATTAATTCGATATAACCAAGCACACGAAACATTATTAATATATTTAAAAATAAATAGTCCCATCTAAATGGCAATTAACTTTTCTTTTTACGCATCATAAAAAATTAATTTGTTACGGCTGACCTTCGCGATTAGATCTCTAATTTTCAAATGTAATTTTTCTTAGATGTATGTCTGAATATTTTCTTCCGCGTCTACACTATTTACATATAACATGTAAACGAACATGATATAGTGATGTAGGTATAAAAATATCACCGTTACGTTCGATAGTTCGCTTATCGTTTCACCCGTTTGTGCTTTAATGGAAAGGAAATCTCTCATTGTGTTGCGGTAATGTATGTTCGTGATGCTAATAAATTACGTGCGAAATGAAACGTAATAGAAACTAGTTCGTCAGTAATCATACCTTTTTATCTAATTATATAATTATTTGTGTAATTATAGGGTAACATTAACAGTAACTTTTATGAACCAATTACTTTCTACAAAAATCATATAATTATTCAACAATTGTTGAGACACTTTAGAAGAGCTTCAAATCATATATTTTGAAAAAATGTTTCAAGTATTTTGTATAAAATTTTAAAATTATTTTGTATACAATTTTATTTTTAATAAAGGACTATTCGGAGAATTTTTTTCATATTTTAATTTATATATTTTTATTTTGATTTCGTATTCTAGTCTTCTATAATTATTAAAATTGGTTTAGTAACTAGACAGAAAATTATGAAAAAAAACATCAAATAATTAATGAAAATATTGATAAAAATCATATTGAATATATTGCTAGCTGTAAATTATAAATTTTAGAGTGTACGTTTTTAATCGAGATTATTATATTTACTGCTTCTTTTTAATATTTAATAAAAGTTGTTCGCGTGTGCAGCGTAAAGATTCAAATGCACGGTACACATATGCATCAGCCAATTTTGTATGCATGCAATGTACCACGGTAATACATACACGATAAACATTATGCGCTGCTTAGATCGCAATGTTGATAAAAATATACATTATTTGCACCAATAAAAATTCATATAAATATAAATTCGTATAAAAATATAAATAAAGTTAATATGAAAAAGGATTAATGAATAAAAATATATCAAAGAGAAAATATTACGAATAACATTGTAGCTATATGTATATATATAAACATCTGATACAAGCGTGCACTCAAAAAGCCATGATAGTCGGAATAAGGGATGCAATTAGGTCAAGTGTATTGTGTGTGAAAAATCGATTTACCAGCATGACAGTGAATGGCCACTCTTCCTTCTTGCACAGCGAAGGCCACAACCTTGACCATATCTAGGAGCTTTCCCATTGTAGCATCACCATAATCTTTCAAGGCAAAATTGTAATAGTAAACTGCAACAAATTCGCTAATTGGAACTACATTTGATACTGAATATATCTATGGTAGAGGAAATAAGCAATAGCAACGGCTGCTATTTCGGAGCTTTTCTTTCTCCATATAGATATATGCGTTTGCTGCATTGCATGTTATATTGTGAAGCTCTTCGATCTAGCTAGTGGTTGTTAAGGAATGGGGAAGAGACGCTTTTGCGATTCGAACTTTTAACCAAGGTCAGAATTCCCTCCATTTTATTTTATCATAGTGACTTTGATTAGCATAAAATCAAATTTCTTTGCTGTTTTATTACAGTCTTTATCATCAATATACAATTTGCATATTGTGATACAAATGAGACGCAATAAAGTTAGAGCAATTTATACAATTAAATAACTTTTGGAATATTATATTATCTGGAATGTATATGATCACGAAAGCGACTTTTATTAAAATATTAATATATATGTTTTTTAATTAGCCCATTATAAAATATAAAAATATAAAAAATATTGTCGTAAAATAATGCATAATAAATGAAAGTTAAAACTAAGTAGAAAATAAGTAAAAGTAAATAAAAACAAGAAATGTTGCATTTTTAAAAAATAATATAAACATTATAATTACTATTATTGCGTTATATATCACAATATATAAATATTATATATGTATACATATATATTGTTGCGTAGTAAATATATATCATATTAAGTCATAATTATAAAATATGTAATATTTAATATTATATAAAAGTTATATACCTATATTATATAAAAGTTATATATACCTTACATATGACTTGTATCTATCACGAAAAATATTTGGAAGATCATAATCCATGTTTTTCAAAATTATTCTCGGTGATGAATAAAATAGGAATATAGTTACAATAAATAAGCACTGAAATTGAGTTCTACATAAAATAAGCAATATTAATACCTACTATTATTTTTCATAAAAAGATTGGGATCATATGTGAAACCGCTTTCTTCGAGTGGACCACCACAGCTCGCGTGTTCGCCAGGTGTTTGCAAGTTTATTATAGTTTTTATGCTCCAACCATGAAATTGGGCAATTATATCTTTCTTTATTATCTGAGCGGTATTAGGCCGTGCCATCGCAAGGACATCATCAGTCACCCTAAAATATTTGAATCATTTATATCGAAACGTAATACAGGTATTGCTCGATACTAGTTGGACATGTAATAACCAATTTAAGAAGTTTGATTTTTATGTTAATTATTCATATCTCGATGCAACGAAGGGGATATGGTAATATGGCCATTACATATTTGATTATTATAACCATAATTTATAAGGCTTCGGTGCAGTTGAGTATCGATAGAACATCAATAAGAAGGCCTTAGTATAGATTGCATATCTCTAGCAATAAAAATTATGTAACAAATTATAAACATTTTCAGAGAGAGAATAATATTATATTATAAATATTTATATTTTTCAAAACATTTAGAATTATGTATATATTATATATTTAAGCAAATGCATTCCACACAATAATTCAATAATATAATACTAAATAATGCTAATCTAACATTACAATTGTTAAAAAATAATAATGTTTTATAATTATAGATAATAGAATTTATTTATTATTTTTTATTTAAAAAGGTATGGTTTCTCTCCAAATTTTATCTATTAAATTATAAAATTATCAAAAAGTAAGAACTATTTTATTGACAATATTTTATATTGTCTATTTTCTTAGTTTTCTTGTTATCCTATTAAAATTTAACAAATAGTGATAGTGCTCTCACACACACACACACACCAATGTGAAAATATGTTCTGTATTGCCATGTGGACAGGTGGCCAAGCCTTTGGATTTTCATACTTGCATCTGGATCCACCACAAAAAATGGCGCACTGTATAGCCTGTGGTGTAAACCTTCGCAAATTTTCCGAAAACTTATTATATCCCGCTTGAACCTCGCATCTATCTGTTTGCCCACTTTGAAGACCTGCCGGAACTAATGAACTTATATCCATTCTATAACGAATAAAACCTAATTATAACAATAATCGTACTTTAATTTAAAAGAAACTTTAAGAGAAATATATATTATAAAATCTATAAAATAAATATATAATTTTAAAGAAAAAAAAAGAATTATATATAACAATATATTTTGATACAAATAACAATCACGTTTCACGTATAACATAAAATTACATGCTCTTGTAAAATAACATATTAAGCGTAAAAAGATAAAATTTTTATAACAATTTGAAAAAAATTTTTTGAAATGTGAGCACACAAGATAATAACACATACATTTGTGAAAATGTTTACGCGCCTTTCATCCATCTCATAGTTATAATCGAAAATAGGAATCGTTTTTATACTAATCAGTCTCGTTCATCAACTATTAAACCGTGCACGTAGACACGCGACGCGGGTTTAACGTACGAAGCGGTCAATATAAAAAAGTTAACGCACTATAGGACAAGCGCATAGCGACTGGCAGCTCCGCTACCATAACGCCGCTTTATCTATGAAACACAAAGGGGTTGCGCCTGCGTCGGGCAGAGCTAGTAATCATGAAATTTTTTTGCATGCATATATGCTATTTGTACGATTATTCGAAATGCTTGTAAATGTAGAATTTAATACATACGGTAAAATGCAATTTGAGGCCTATGACATTATGATCACAAAGATAAAATTAGTAAAAATTGCATGTTAAAAACCATTTTTTCCTAAGTTTTTTAAGCGCATAAAGAAAAAAGCATTAAAAGTTTAAGTCACACATTAGAAATATTTAGTAATGTGAGAAATCATTAAATTCTGAATTACATAAATAAATAATTAATAAATAAATAAAATCTATTAATAAATAAAGATCATACATATCCAAAAGCCTGTAAGAGAATGTAATTTATTGCAATCGGTGAATAAATGAATAGTTTATGTATACATATATTCATTATTCCAAGAAGGTGAAATATTGAATGTTAAATACTATTTTAATCGTATTAAAAACTGAAACATAAAATGTTAATAAATTAAACAATATTATTTATAAAATTTTTTATATTGTGATTGAATGTGTGTTTTAAATATTTTATTATACATTTGGCACTTTTTTGGATAAAAGTATGAATTTTTATTTTGCTAGTAATCCAGAATTAGTGATCCAAAATTTCTTAAGTTTTCATAAAATTCTTTTGTTCTAATTATTATTTAATTAATAATAAGATTAAATGTGTGTGCATGTACTATTCATTACTATCATGGCACAATAAGAACGGAATAAAAACATAACACTTTATATTATAGATATTTCCAAATTCTGCGATCAAATCATAATATACCGTTTTGCATGTATACATTATGCATTATTTTGCATAGATTAATGTTATTATATGTAGATACGTTTGTTTATTCACCTAAAAGCATATTTTGCTGCAAGGAAATGTGTATTATGTCAATTCAATCAAATTATTTCTTTAAATATTAATTACAAAAATGTTAATATATTGAACTTAATTATAACAGAATTACCAAAAGTAATATACATAAAATCAATTATATGAAAAATCAGAATAATAACAAATTCATTTATTATTGATATATTAATATCTAATATTATATAATTGTCGTAAAATAATATTCTACTAAATATAATATAAAGTCCTTCAAAATTAAATCTGAAATAATGCATATAACATATAATAATATAAAATGCCTCATTAATTGTTACTTTTTAAGCTTTCATACACAGTTTATATCAATTCGTTACTACTCTTTTGATATAAAATCTAAGTTATTAACAATTCACGGACAAAGGAACGCAATCATGTCGCGTGCATAAATTATAGGAGAGGAATGACAGGTAACAATAAGTCAGAGCATATGACTGAATGAATTAGCTATGGATGTCTGCTCTATCAAGCGTATATATAGTGTAGTCACATATATTCCAACACTTTCCCTGTACCTTACGCACACCCACTTATATGCAAATTGATCGTAATTGAATAATAATTTTATATAATTATTATTAAATTTTATATAATTTTATAAGGGCCCTAATTATTATGCCAAAAATTAATGTAAAAGTAATTTAAATTTAATATTTTGCAACAATATTGTCAATATTTTGTAGCATTTAAATAAATTTATTTGTCAAAATCTTAATGATATCGGATGTCATATAATTCTACACATTTTACGTTATATTAATGCATAATTTTATTACATTAAAAACTAATTTTAATATCTAGACAAGATGTTGTTAGTGTCTGAAAATAATTTCTCAAAAAAATGAGTTTCTCAAAAATTATAATTAAAAATTAATTAATTAATTACATTTGTTTGTAATCACATATTACCAAAAAGTATCAGCAAAAACAGACAAACTAATTGCTATTTAAAGTTATTTATTTAAAAGATTAAAATTTATCTTTATGTATATAACAGAGTTATCTACTTTTTTTTCAATCTACTGTTGAGTCTTTTCAGTATTCAATGACAATTAATACTGATAATAATTGAATATTTTTTAACACATACAAAAATGAGGAAATGTATTTTCTCTTCAAATATATTATTTCAATTAATGTTATGGTTCGATTTTAAAGAGATATGGCAATTGTTGTTAAAGCATGGCCAAAACTATTACTTCCTAAAACGTTACAAAGCATTACAAAGATTTAGCAAAAGTCTAACAAACATTACGTCACACAATTCGCAAAGTTCCGTAAATGTATCTGTTAATATTAAGACAGTATAGTACTTTCTAAAGGATTTGGCAATAATTCATGATATGAATTACGTATATGCTATACAAATTCATGGAATAGAGAGAGCCCAAATTTAAGGCAGCGTACTTTGTTTTTTAAATTCTAAAATAACATATACTTCTATATATATAGACTAAATTGTCGAATTAAACGTAATTCGATTAATTAGAGTATCGGATGTCGTTTAAATCTCTTTACAGAGAAAAATAAACTTTTTTCGCAATGCAGTATCTAAGCAGCTGCGTAATCGGCGCGCAAAGCGCGCGCTTGTGTTATCTAGTTATCAGTAAAAAAACATTGTATTGAGATGAATCAGCATTTAAATTAAAGCTTGAATATTTTTTTTAATCAAAAAATCAAAATTGAATTATAAAAATGTTATACAAAATGACGGACGTTGAAGACGTTAAAAAATGAGAAAAAAATGTCTTAAATTTTTGCATAGCTTAGGGAAATTGGCTCCTAGATATAAAAAATATAAAAATATTTTGAAGTTTATTAATTTTCTAACAAATCCATATTTTTTTTAAAATGTTTCTACAATTTTTTTTACAAAGTTATACCGTTCGGAAAAAAATGTAATAAAATGGATTTTTTCTTGTAAAATTTGCAATTTAGACGTATGTACACACGCAAATTATTGTGAAAAACTTTTTCAAATAGAAAATTAAATGTAAACTTTAAATCTAAAAACCTTTTTGCCAATGATAAATAAAAAAAATTGTAATAAACATTTGTAACAAACCTAGATTACAATTTTTCATTATCGGCTATTCTTTTGTTTATTATCGGTACAAAGGTTTTCAGATTTAAAGTTTATATTTTAATTTCCATTTTGAAAAAGTTGTTCACAATAATTTGTTTCTAAATTGAAGATTTTACAAGAAAAGATTTATTTTGCAACATTTTCTTCAAAACGGTATAACTTTGTCAAAAAAACAAAATCGTAGAAAAATTTTCTTAAATATGGATTGTTAAGAAATTAATGAGCTTCAAACTTATATTTTTTTAATATCTGGGAACTGATTTCTCTGGACTATGCAAAAAATGTGAGACTTTTTTTCATTTTTTTAATCTTCAATGTCCTTCATTTTATATAACATTTTGTACAACATTTTATAATACTTTAATCTTAATCTTTTGTATTATTAAGAAAAATGTTCAAGTTTTAATTTAAGCGCTCGTTTCTCATCTCAATATGAAGATTTTTTATTAAGTTATTATATTTAAAAATGCCAAAAGAATTGCGCTATTTGGTGGATTTTTTTGCAGATGAGTTTATATGTATATTGAATACAATAATATTTTACATAAAATATTATACAAACGTTCTCAAAACTCTTAAAAAAAAGAAATCTTCCTATTCTTTGTTTTGTTATGTAGAAAATATCCCAGACATAAGGTTTATGATACCTCAGAGTCACGTTTATAATTTTTCCTCACGAGCGATAATTGTAACATATAAATCGCGCTTAATATTTCAATATCACATATTGGAGGATATGCATTCGAGTTAAGAGAGCGATAAATATATGGCGAATAAAAATGCAATCTCAGAAGAAATGTATTTGTAAGCTTTACAATAACATTTCTCGTCATTTATCAAAACAATGTTTCATTAAAGCTTTGCACGATTAGCATTAAAATATTTTAATACAAATATCTTTTAAATATTTTCTCAGATATACATACTATATTTGATGTAATCCAGTATATGTATTGTATATAAATAATTCTACAGTTGTAATAACTTAAATTTATAATAGCATTAAATATATTCTAATTTTTTGTAGTCTTTTTTTATTCATCTATGTTGATTGATAATTTAGTTTTACGCTAGTTAGAGTAAAAAAATTACATTATTAATAAAAAAAATTATATTAGATAAAAAAATTATCTTTCAGATTATTTTTTTATAATATACCACAAAAAATTAAAATATATATTCGGTACTATTATAAGACTAAGTTATTACAACTGTAAAATTATATAAATACTACATTACGTTAAATACGGTATGTATATCTGAAAATATATCTAAAATATTTAAATAATAGCGTATATACCTATATAGTATAAAGTAGATTTTTATTTCAATATAAGATGAAAACATATTAAAATATCGCGGTAGGGGGACAATTGCAAGAAATGCAATATTGCAGAATGTCAAATAATTTAGTGTTATCTAACTCAACATAATTGTAACATTAAAAAGCATACATTAATCTCATCTTAAATTAATTGAAACAGTAAAAAACATACTTAACGTCATTAATATCACATTCTTATTAAAATCAATTTTATCTCATATAAATAATTTTATATACAAACTTTGCTGATTTCTTTTTTAAAGATAATTATATTATAAATTTAAACTTATGAATTTATAGAATTTATTAAATTAAAATTATAGAAATTTTGTATATATATGTATAAAATCGCGCAGATTGCAGATTTTTAAAGTGAATGTGTAATAAAAATATGAAATGTTTCCTTTTCAGTTCTATGTATACTGTTTTATATCTTATAATCTCTGTTGTATATTTTTTCTGTGGTATATGTACATATTCTTATTAATTTAATAATCATTTTGAGATAACAAGAACTAACTACAATCTACGATCTACACCTACAATTTTGAGGTAACGGGAACTAATTACAATCTATGATCTGGATTTATATTTACCATCTACATCTATACACAAACTACTCTCTACCGCATTAAACCTCCTAATAAAATAATAATTAATCACTCACCGGCCGATGCGCAACAGCGGAGTAATCACTGCATCGAAGCTACGTTGACCTGTAACATGTAAATAAAATCGAAATTATAGCAGCGCTTTGCATAATTAATATTTAAAAAAATGATTAATGTGTCCATTAAATTCTATATTAAATGCGTACAATTATCAGTAGATTGTAATTGAGTAACTTTATAAGTTTTAATTTATTATCTTAATTTTAATTAATTAATTTATTTATTTTATAAACTTTATAAATTTTATAAAGATTATATACTATAATAAACTTTTATAAGCGACTTATCAAAAGTATTTCTTTTGAATTCTCTCTTGTTTAAATCATTCTAATATATAGAAATAGAATAATATAACATATCTAATTTATAACAAGTATTATATATAATATTACAAATTACAATACTCACCCCAGAGTTGCTCCGCTGGCTGACCTGATGCCTCATCCTATAGGGCTGCTCCTTCTCTCAGGTCGAGTTGATCAGAATTGTTCGTTCATTGTTTACAGTCCGTCCATTTCCGAAACACGCGCGAAATATTTTGAAAGGCACTCCCGCACTAAACGCGCGACACTTCAAACGAAACTCCCGCACTAAACGCGCGATACTTTGGACGACACTCCCGTATTAAATACGCAATACTTTCAGCAAAAACCCCGCACTGAACGTGCAATATTTTTAACGGTATTTCCACACTAACAATAAAACAAGCGATATTTTTTATACCTATTTTTAAATAAAATTATTATTTTTGTATTAAAATTATTTTAATATTTTAATATTTTTATCACGCGTCAATTATCGAGAATTCAATAATAAATCAGTATAACCGACCAATTTCAAAGTAAGGAAAAATTAAATAAAGTAATACGTACTAGAATTTGTATTAAAAGTTGTAAAATATTGTCGTAAATTATTATCGTAAATTATTATTGTCGCAAATTTTTAATTTTTTTATATAATCGCGATAAAATATCCGCAAAATATCTTTTCTCACATTATTTTGCACAATTTTGTTTTAACTATGTAATACACATAAACTATGTAGGTATCAATATAAATGAATGGATTACAAAACAGTAGTATAATGTTTCGATACATTATAACAATAAGTAATTATGTAATTAATAAAATTTGAAGTAACGGAACCAATCTACAATCTACAATCTACAATCTACAATCTAGATCTATATCTACAATCTAATCTACACCGTTACCTCGTAATAATATAATTTATTACTCATCGGTCGATGCGTAACAGCGGAGTTACGACGTCGCACTGATCTGTAAAATAAAAATAAAATCCAAATTATAATAACGCTACTATTAATTAATATTTTAGTAAATTATTATTGTGTGTATGTGCATTGAATATTATATATTTTTTACGCGCGTACAATATTCAGCAGAAGTATAATTAAAACATTTTATGAATTTTAATTCAATACAATTAATAGACAATAATAAATCCTCACCTCAGGGTTGTTCCATCAGTGCCCGATGCCTCTCCCAGGCCTCCTCCTCCTCTCAGGTCAATGTCCTCTGTATTCAAATTATCTGCAAAATAAAAATTAAATCCTTAAATTGTAGCAGCTTCTAAAACGATTAACGTAAAACAATTATCCATTGAATTCAATGCATAATTATTATATGCATTGAATTTTATATTTGATGTGTACAATAAGGATAATAATTTATTTATTTTATGATTTTTTATTTAATAATAAAAAAATAAATACCCTAAAACAGCTCCATCTGTGTTTTATGCCTTCCTAAAGACTTTCTTCTCCTCTAAGATTGTCAATATCTTCAACAAAGATCTGTAAGATAGAAATTAAATTCACATTGTAAGATTGCCTAAATTGTTAATAAGTAAAAAGATTATTTATTATTGAAAGAGATAAAAGATTATTATTTATTGAAATCAAAATTTTAATGATTATGTATATTTTCAATTTTATATTGGTGCATCCAATTATAATAATTAAATAAAAAAAGTCTAACAATTAAATAAACGAATAATAAATACCCAAAAATTATTCCATCTGCACTTTATGTCTCTCTTATACTTTATCCTTATAGAATTGTTAATAATGTCTTCAGCAAAATTGATCTGTAAAATAAAAATTAAATCAATATTGTAAGAGTGTCTAAAATAAATTAACATGTAAAAAAATAATTATTATATATGCATTGAATTTTTTACTCGATATGTACGCAATAATAAACACAAACAAATATATTTAATTTTATTATACAATATATATTTAATATATATACATTTATTAATAAATTTTTATTTATTAATGTAATTATTTATTTATTATTTATTAATGTAATTAATAATAATAATAAATACCTAGAAATTTCTCCTTCGGCATTCGGATACCATTTCTTTTGCGGCTTTCAAACTTTTGAGTCCTTTTTATTGCTATGTTGTTACGTTTTTTCATCTGTAATATATAGAAAAATTAATTATTCTAAAACTTTTTAACGCACTTATAATTGCGTTACTTTTTTTGTTCGCGATGCGCGGCGACACGACGTCCGGATTATAACTAAAAATGAGTACGATAATATTGAAATACCATTGGCAATGTAAGAACCGTTGTCATAATCAACCTACGATTTTTACCAAAATTACGAACCTAATTCGTCGCCGAACGATACTTCGACACGATGATGAGAAAGTACAACCAGAAACGCATTAGAATACGAGAACGCCGAAAAAAACGGAAAATTTTCGCGCCGAATAAAGCACCCAGTAATTCTCGTGATTCGTCCTTGTAAACTTGCACGCGCAAATAAACTTTTGGCGGCTCGAATCGGAGCTGTGAAGTCACGTTTTTGGAGGGAAACGTCCGAAATTCGCAGTCGACAAAATGATCAATTTCACGCTTGTGATCGTGATTTTCTCCAACTTTCGGCGGCTCGAATTGGAGGTAATATCGCGCGGTTTGGAAGGACGAATATTGAGCGAGATTTGCGGCCAACGAGATCAATCTGGCATGTACTATCGCGATCACGATGTCGATACATGCAATGCGATCGGATTTGTATGATAATTAAAGACGTAAAGACATTAATTAATATATACTCACGCTTGTACTTTTGGCGGACCGGCGATGAAGAGCGCGCGAACGTTGGTCGTGAACGATGAGAAATGAGAAAGTACACCAGAGGGCAGCAACATTCTAAATTGTGTTCGGAAATATATCGCCCAGAGTGAAGCGCGTGATGACCAATCAAGAGAGCCTCGCTCTCCGATTGGTCGAAGCGCGAAATTTAACCAATCGATAAAATGGTCCTCCGAAATATAATAAAAAAATATGAAAAAAAAACACTTGACATACTTTGTGACATCATGGATTTATTTAATTATGTATATAATGTTGATTTTATTGATAATTAAAAGAAATATTTGCGTAATTCTAGACAGTTTAATATGGATGTAGATGACGGAGTGCGTTCTATGAAAAACCACTCTACTCTTTCGCTTCTCTTTGCGGTAGTGATAGGTTGGTAATGCTAGATGTCATCTGGAATGAATGAAACAGTCGGTGTTATCGTATATAACGGCTGAACCATGGTCCGTCTGATTTAGGTAGATAAGATTAATCAAGTATATTGAAGTCGTGCGAATTCTGATTCACTTCGGCATATTATTGGCGCAAGAACGAGAACAAAAGATGTCCGGCTTTGACGAGAATCCCTTCGGGGAGCCTACGATTAACGATCCTTTCTCGGTAAGTAGCGTGTGTCCAACGAATGACGAAAGTGAAACACGCAACTCCGTACTGCAATATTGCTCGCGTATCTGTCAAAATTCATCGGCCTTTTGTGTCAGTATTTTTTGTCATTATCTTTCTCGGAAAAAATTAATCATGATCTATTGAACGATAAGTGACACTTATAAAATTCAATTTGATGATTATTGATTGTCATTCTAATTGGTAAAAATACCTTTGTGCGTCTTTACATTAATAATTTTTTTTTCTGTCATTAGTGAATAATTGCATCAGTATGTATCTTTTATGCAATTTTGTAATGCTGGACTGAAATATACTATGCTAATATATATATTTTTTTAGGATATTTAAAGTACGATTTATAAAATTGTAACTTCTAATAATAATTTATCAGAATATATTCTATATTTTTTTGTATTTTGGAACCTACCTTTGGAAAAACAATTTCATATTTAAATGTAATAAAGAAGATAGAATAATAAGATGAAACACAAATTAACAAAAGCTGTAAGAGAGAATATTAGTGAATTATATGAATTATAGGATCCAGCGATACGAAGAGCAGTGACTTCTACACCTGCTAGTAGAGGTCTTGAGGATTATAATCCTTTTGCTGATCAAGGTACTCAAGGAACTACACAAGTCAGAGGAGCAGTGAATCCACCAATTTATGGTGGAGTTGGTGCAACGCAACAGCCAGCCACACTTCAACCTACTAATCAAGAAGCACCTCCTCCTGCATATGCTCGTACTCCTCAACAAACAGTCAATGCAGCAATTGGTAGTTCTTTATCACCTTCATCAGATGTAAGTTTATACTGAATATTTAATTTTTTTATGAAATTTTTGTTATAAACTTTTTCAAGTGTTTTAAGATAAGATAATATTTTAATATATTTTAGCAACGAGCTGAACCAGAATGGAAAGCTAGAGCAGAAGAAGAACTAAGAAATACTCCTTACTATCGTTAGTATACCATCTTTATACTAACAATTCTTAGTTTAAATAGTAAACATTTATTGAAATTCTTAATATTATATTATAGCAAGGCGAAATAATTGGCCACCATTACCAGAAAAATGTTGTTTTCAACCATGCTTTTATCAAGATATTGATGTAGAAATTCATACTGATTTTCAAAAAATAGTGAGGCAATTGTATTATCTATGGATGTGTAAGTTTTCATAAACACTTATATTTATTTATTAATGTTATATGAGCAATGTTTTTATATATTTAATAATATTATTTACAGTTCATGGATGTGTTCTGCTAATGAATGTAATTGGAGGATTTGTTTTGATGCTTTGTGACCAGGATTTCTCAGCATTTGGTCTTGGAATTTTGTATCTTATACTCTTTACTCCATTTTCCTTCATGTGCTGGTTTAGACCAGCTTACAGGGCTTTCAAGTAAAATTTGTTTGATATCACAAAAATCAAATAAGAATCACATAAGAATTAGAAATAAATTGCTTTAATTTTTTCAGGAATGACAGTTCTTTCAACTTTATGGTCTTTTTCTTCGTCTTCTTCTTTCAACTAATTGTCACAGGTATACAGGCTATAGGTATTCCTGGTGCAGGAACTTGGTAATATATTTTCTTTAATTTATTACATTTTAGTTTTGTGGCATATAAGTACTTATATGCTAATGTAAATTGCATTTTTTATATTGCAGTGGTATAATAACGGCTATTAAGACATTGGATTCATCAGCCAAAGGTATTTTTGTTGGTCTGCTCATGCTCTTCATCGCTATTTGTTTTCTTCTTGCTGCAGGTGGTGATCTCTTATTGCTCACTAAGGTAAAGGAGATACATCGAAAAAAAAAAACTCATTTATTGATTTCAATGAAGCACAGATGAGATTATTTATTTACAGATTCATCGCATTTATCGTAATTCTGATGCGAGTGTTACGAAGGCGCAACAAGAGTTTGCTACAACATTTTTGCGAAATGAGCATGTGCAAAATGCTGCGAGCAACGTCGCGGCAAGTGCAGTTCGTCAACAAATGACTAATGCTGCTAGCCAGCCACGTTATTAAATAACTTTTATCATTTATTTGTAATCTTCGGATATACACTATATGGCTTTACATCATTCAAGTAAGTGGATAGATCTCATTAGTTCCACTGTTTACAGATTATGCAAAATGATGATCATAGAAATGCAAAATATGTTTACAAAACTTATTCTTACAATGAAACACTGTAATATACGAAAATTATGCTTCACGATTAAATTTATTCTTTGATGTATGTTGTATTAACATTAATTGTACAGCTATAGCAAAATATTGAAACATTAATGGATATTTTAAAATCTTTCAAAACTGTCTTTTATTTTTTAATCATATTATCATTATTATCGTATCTACATGTATTACATTTATTTATCAAGGTCTACAAATTAGATTACAATGATATGAGTGAGCTATTGATAATCTATAATTATCTATTATTTTAATATTATATATTTGTTTACATTAACTAGTTTTAATATTTTAGCACAGTTTCATAACAATAATCATGTATAAGCTATAAAACTAATTATTTTTTTATAAAAAACGAAACAAATCTATTTCCAAATTCAAATAATCGAAAGATTGATTATAAAAACATAATTTAAATTCATGTATTAAATATTAACATAAACGCTAATTTACTTATGAATATTAACACAAAACTTTTTATAAAACTTACAAAATTTTACATACATTCCTTTTTATATATATATAGATGTGTTAAATTTTTTGTTGTTATTTTGTAATTAAATTCTCGTTTTTTGCGAGTTATATAACAGAAAGAAGTTAGGGTTTATTATAAAAAAAACTATGATTATATATATATATACCCATACATATATATTTATAAACATATTGTTTTATAACTTATACAAATATGTCGAAGAAAATAATTCATGATTGTTATTAAGAACTTATTTATATTTTTTCCAATCAAAATGTTAAATAATGTGGTTATTGTTTGTTGAAACTGATATATACTTATGTTTATTTGTATTTCTTCACGTATTATAATAATAATAAACATTATATATGTATATAATTACTATATTGAAAATCTTAAAACTAATCATTATAAAATTATTAAAAATATTAGATATAAGTTTCTATTTCTAAAATCACAGTTCGTTTTTTTCTTCTTAATAACTTAATAGATATTTATTATAAAAATATTTTATTAGTATAATTAGTGAATATTTTATTGATATTTATATATATGATTCTAATTCTTGTAAGTCAAGTCTTTTAAGTAAGTCTTTTGCTGCAAGAAAATGTTATTAAAAATTTAATTATGTAAAAGAAATGTCAAAACATGTTATACATTTATATAACTTTGTAAATGTTTAATATGTATATACCTTTAGAATGATATGTTGCAATTGGATCTGTAGGAAAAGGGCAACCAACATCAGACTTATTTAATAGAGTAGTTCCAATTAATTCTGCTGCAGTTATAGCATCAATAACTTCTACTTTAGTTCGATACATAAGTTTTGCATGACCTTCTGCTAATCTAAAATCAATAAGTTTACTGATATTACTATTTCATATATAATTGATAATTTGAATTATAATTTAGAACAAATAGCATACAAGAAAGTTATCACAAATGATTAATTTTTATTATACCTGATAAGACTATCTAAAAGTCGCACTGTTGTTCTCTCAGGCCTTCTATATGGATCTGATCTGTGATAAAGATAAGCTGCACTAAGTATTTTTGTTGCCTCTTCAGTTAACACTGGTTTCCATGTATGCACGTGCGCGAAATATTCACAGAGAGTCTCCTCTGTCCACAGACCTGTTAAGTTCGAGGGACCTTTATATATTTCGGAATATCTGGAAAATAATTTTATAGATGTTTTAATACTGCAAATTATACGGCATTATAAAATACATATGTTACATTACGAATTATTTTCTTCATCTTCACAGGCAGCTTTTATAATATGACTCGACGTCATTCTATCCCACTCGGGATTTCTAGTATCTTTTAAAAGGAGAATCAAATCGAAACGCGACAAAAGAGGATTTCCTAAACAGGTTTTCCATTCTTCACCCGTAAAACATCCACCATCTGGGTTAATAGCTGCAATGACGGAACAACGACTATTTAAAGTGGTCAGCATGCCGGCTTTAGCTATGGAGATTGTTTGTTGTTCCATTGCTTCATGTACAGAGGTTCTATCATGCGAATTCATTGTTGTAAACTCATCTACACAACATATACCTCCATCTGCAAGGACTAAAGCGCCGGCTTCTAAATGCCAACCATCCGAATCCTGTAATACATCTTATGACAGATTATTTACGAAATAATTGTGCTTAGACTTGAAAAATAAGATAAATATAAAGTATTTAAAATGTACTAACTCTGACAGCAGCTGCTGTAAGTCCAGCAGCAGTAGTACCAATACCAGTTGTAAAGACAGACCGTGTAGTTAATCGAGACGCAGTATGAAGCAATTGCGATTTACCAGTTCCAGGATCTCCAATCAGAAGAAGATGAGGTTCACCTCTTACACGTGTTCCTGTTTCGCTAGTTTTTGTTACTCCACCACACATAACAATGGCCAATGCTAATTTCGCGATATACATTCCATATAGCTGTAAGAGTGATCAAGAAGTTATTGTTTAAATTATATAAAAAATATATTTTTACTATGTACATTTTATAAATGTTTGAAAATATAAGTACCTGGGGACAAATAGAGGCAAGAATATTGTCTCTGCCAGCTAATGGATTATCTCGATAATGTTCCCAATATGCTGTAAAAAGATCTTTTATTTCAGCAGTAGAAAATGCTGCTTCTGAGATTTTTTTGCGTATTGAGATGCTATTAGCCATCAGGAATGTCGTAGCTTCTGTGCGATGGCCAACTTTTAATTTATTCCATTTTCGTATAACTATTCCACTAAAATAATTTTTATAATTAAGACTAAAGAGTTAAAATCACGTTTAATAATTGTATTTCATTTTTTTTCTCATTTATTTCACAATTAAATATAAATAAGCTACTAACCTGATGTCTACATTATCACCAGGTTTACATTTGTCAATCAGATCATCTAACAAAACTACTTGTAGGCCCATTGAACAATAATTCTTTGTATCTGTTTTACATTTGTCCTGTGTTAAATATTTATGTAAAAAATATGATATATAATAGTAATAAGACAAAACTTTTTTACCTGAATTTTTATTTCTTGATAATCTGAACAATCATCTTGTTCTAAAGATGTTAAAGCTGTTATATTTGGTGAACGACATGCATCACAATACTTAATATTTCTGAACAATTGCCTTTCCCATTCTAGCTGTAACAAAATAATCTATAATTTATATATATTCATATATATATATATACATTAGAAAAAGAGAATGTGCTTCATAATAATTTATCTGATGTTGTACTTTTTGTTAAATATGAAATTTATATATACCTTAACCACACTGACATGTTTGCATTTTTTACAAGCAAAACGTTTTTTCAATTTCATAATTGTAGATTGAGACATACGGACCACAATTCCAGATGTTGAAACTAATTCACCAATTTGACCTGTGTCGATTTTTATTGGTACTGTAGTGATTCTCATGTGAACCTATTTTGATGTTATAATGAAGAATGAGATTAATAATAAAAACGGTTATCAGACTATAAATAAAAATAATGTTTTTTATCAGGTATTGCATAATTGATGAATTATATAAATAATTAATAACATAAAAAATTCATACTTTGGTTTTTACTGTTTGACCTGTTTTGCATAATTGTTCCTGAGCTTTTACTGCTGCTTCATCGCACAGTGGTAAATAATGTCTAGGATTGCGTAAGATTTTTGTGCATTCTCTACATCGGCTTCAAATAACGACACAAAACTGAAAAGTAGAACGTATAATAAAAACATTATTATGGAAAGAAGAGATGTATCACATAACTTAATTTCTTATGATACATTAAAACGGATTATTCTAAATTATATATATATATATATTTTTTTTGTTATAAATGCAAGGCAAATATAGAGAAAATCACTTACTTTACTTCTATCGAATAGAATACATGATCATTTGCAGCATTTAATATTTCTTCCAAATCTTTTGTGTGATGCTCTAAAAAATATTTTTCAAGCATATTGATTATATAAAATATTACTGTGATAATCCTCAACAGTTCAACTTTAATCTGAAATAAGATATGTTTTATAATATTAATATAAATGACACTAACAAAATTATTTTCCTATTAAACACATAAAACTGTTTACAATTTATAGGTTAGCTATACTAACCAAACCATTCAACGAGAGTCATCAATCGATAGTCATAGATCGTAACTCGAAGTCTCGAAGCATCGATGGACCAATCAGGGCGAAGAATTTGACTTCAAAAATGAAAGTGGCGCAGAAAGCGCACCTCACTTCAAAGCGTAATAAAAGCGGGAGTGAATTACGCACGCACGCATCGCAGAATCATAGTGCGGATAAATAAGATTATCGTTGTTCTTGTCATTATATCGTGCAACATCCGTTTGCATCGTGATCACTGGTCAAAGAATTCAAAGGTACATATATATTTTTATTAATTAAATTTGTATTTTCAAATCTATTACACATATTTTTTCCTACATTTGACTTCTCCTTTTTGTCGAAACAAGTTTGTATTTTTAACACATTTATTTATTTCGCGCCTAGCAAATAAAGATTTTATTTGCTAAAACACTATCAATGCCGCAAATTCTTCAGCTATCAGTTAAATGTTTGAAATTCCATTTGAGTCAAAAAGCATTCTCTCGCTTTGAGGCTTGGTCGCAGTTTCGGTTACTTTTCGCCAAACCGCATTGATGGCTAGCTTCCATTAATCGATTTCTATGTTTCGACATTTATTTGTCTCATAATTCTGCGTCGCGGTTTCGTGCGGAACTCTGCGGCGAAACTTCTTCCGCAACATCGGAAACCTTTTCTGCTCCTAATTTTCGTCAACGTGAGGGTGTTTGCGGGATGCATTTCAATAGGAACACACACACTTACACATACACACATATACGCACACATATTTATACACACACACATATACACACACATTTGGGGGAAATAAATGTAAGCGGCTGAAAATAGATATTCCGGGCTTCCGAATATTTGAGTTACGATAAAATCGAATTTTGTGCTCGTTCAAATAGCAGCGAAGCAAACGGAAATCGGTGAAAATATATACACATAGCAATGATAATACTATCCGAGTGAGATGAAAGTTTTCCGTTCGACTTTTATGCAATTTTTCACGCTGCGGATTTTTTACTGCCTATATATAAAAATAATTGTTTGTAGATGAGAAAAACGAAAAGTTCTCCAAATATTTATACACCTTTTTTCGTTGTTTAACGAAAACGAAGAATATGTATTTATTGTTTATATTAATGTTATTTAAATATTTAATTCAACAATATTATATAAATAAAAATTACTTGAAACGATGCAGAAGAGAAAAAAAACATAATATATATTTAAAATAGTGCCTTCATATACATATATAAACTATAATTTTTTCTCATTTTTATTGTGGACCCCACAGTTTCCTCTACTTATAAATCAAATTATTAATATATTTGTTTCTTTCACGAACAAAATGCTTTTTATTAGGCAAAGAAAAAACAGTAAACCAGAGTCGTGTGTCTGGGAACAAAGCGTTCGTTAATCAACGTTTTAACAATATCCGATTTGGGATACGTAGCGCAACGTAACTCACCTTTTTATTTGTCGATTCTCATCCGGCACTATTTCTTCTCCGAGTTTGATACCCGGAGGGATTTGATTTAAATTGGAGTATACGACGACGTTTCAAGTGGGGATAATGTACATTAAATATATGTCATCTGTATTGGTTTTACAATGTCATTAGTAACGATTCCCTTTACGACCTGTTTCTGAGTTATAAATTACTAGTCGGATACACGATGGTGGAGAGAAACAGTGTAATTAGCGTTACTGTGCGCGCACCAGATATATATATGCGAATGTATAATTGGTCTGCACACGATCAAAACTTGCCTCATCCGTTTTGTACTTTAACGTCGCCAGCATAAGTCTTCTGATCTCGCGAATCTCTTCAAAGCAGCTTTGTTTAAATTTTTTTTTCAGCCCATTTATATACATTATACCTGCAGATATTAGATAATTATAATATCACATTATCAGGCTCGTATTGCTTTAAATGTATATGATCAGGACATATATGTATATAAATATAGAAATAAAATGTGTTAAATGATTAAGCAATTTTCCTTGGACAAAGTTTGCAATACATTTTTCTAACATAGAAAACTTTATTTTTTATCCTAGTTAAATAATAAAAATTCTTGACAAAACCATATACTGAACATAAAATATATAAAGATAATAAATTTGCACAAATTAAAAAATGTGCTATCCGTTATGACGATATGCATTACATATATTGAATTAATAAACAGTATCATGCATTTTTAACTCTGTTAACATTATTTCTCCTTAAAGGAATATAGGATGTATGATCGTACTATTTGATTTTTCAGTGTTAACGATTCGTCGAGGAACGCCATCCGGATAAAAGTAAACGATGAGCTCGTAACGAGACACAAATCGTTTTCCATTGAAATTCCTCGACGTTGTGCCAACAATAACTACGGGATCATTCGCTCAGCAGACGTCTATTCTTGTACTTGAAATTCCACGAAACGCAAATTTTCGCCCTATTCCATCGAGCGGTAGCAGGATGAATCGCTGGAATTCAAGTCACACGTATACTGCATTTCCTGTAAGTACAATTCTATACAAGTTGTCAGCCGCAGGCTGCACAGCTAGACCTTTCCAGATGAAATTACAGAAAGTTGAATGTCATCGGAATATCCAGAAATATTGCGTTCTCTCTCGAACCATTAATATACTACGTATTTATTTGTCCATCGCTGCATCTACTAACGTTGGATAACATGAAAGTATAAAATAATAAACTCAAGAAAAATAGATCAAAGTTTTAGAAAATATTGCACATAAGAAAATACATTTTAAATCATTAACAATATTTTTGGATTGGGTTTAATTTTATATATATTTTGTTAATCTTTTTATAATACACGGTTATTATATATTTCCAAATATTACAATTCAAATAACTGCTAATAACTGGATCTTTCGCTGATCTACAATAAATAAAATCGATTAAATTGATATTGTTCTTTTACTTCATCGCCGACTTTGCATAGTTTCGTCTTTAATTCTATGCGTGATATGCAAACGTATATGTAATTTTATATTTTGTTTTCAAATATGTAATACATTTTTATATGTCACTTTTAAAAAATAACATTTATCCATTGTAAGAAAAATATGTCATTAATATCAAATTTTAAATATTTTGAAATATAATATTCTTTCTCACAGAAACGTGACATTTAACTTATTGGTTTAGTAGTTATATATACGGATATAAATTCTACACACATTAATTTTATCGATTTTTACAATTACACAATGAGATTTTTGAGCAAAATATAGCTTTTCCTAAAACAAATACAAATTAAAATATTATATTAATTAAATCTACGATAACAGATGTGTCGAACGACATAGCATTAACATCCAATTTTTATTTAAATAGAGTATGACAAATTCATTTTGTAGAATAAATAGTCAAAATAAAAATAACATGTACCTATATAAATTTGAAACTATTTTCAATATTTTATATATTATATTTATATATTTATTTATTTCTGAAACAATTTTTACGTTTTTATTGAAATGTTTTTGTCAAGTTGGGAAAAGCATTATCCGCGAGATGGACTTTTAATGTATTTCACTCTTCTTAAGTTCTTTAATTATTTCATATAATGGATAAAATTTTTAATCAAATAAATAATTGATATTTAATTAATTTATTGTATAAATGTAAAATTACTTTATAATTCCTATTAATCAAGTTTTACATTACGCATCTTTAAATTCTAATAAATGTAATATGTATTATTCATGATACTACCAAAAGAAAAACATAGCAATCCTTATATTTAAATTATACTTAAATTTGTGTGTTTCTCATTTCGTAATATTTTATAAATAACTTCCACAAAATAATTATGAAGTTATTAAATTTCTTTTCTGTACTTATATAATAATTATATCTTTAACTACTTTTTCATTTCCAACAAGAATTGTGAATTTAAAATTTTAAAAACCACTTGTCGCCCTCGATTAATTAAATCGCGTAAATCACGAAAATAAATGTGAACAATATTATTATCACATATTTTAAGAGTTATTTAAAAAATCTATTTTGAAACCACTTTTTCTTTATGTGATTTATATTTTGTTAAAACTGTATGTAATATTATAGGATTATTCGACGATTTTATTTGATAATGCATATCGAAAACACAGTTATAATGTTTGCATCTTCATAACACAACTTTTGATCTATTTAAATTTTTGAAATAAATGAAACTTAATTACCATATTACTATTATAAAATATCCAAGAAAATTTAATGGGGAGAATATATTTTAATTAAGATACATACACATGTGTATCTCTCTTTAAAAATGACCATTTAACGATTAGACAATATTTTCATTCAGCATGCGAGGCATTTTATCATCCGTTCACCATTTTATCGAAGGGTAGTGAATTGCGATCCGAAAGAAATATCTCGCGAACAAGCACTGGTAAAAGAGAAGTGGCGGTTGCGTCTTGTCCAGCAAGGACTCCATGTCCTGCTGGGTCCTGTGCTTTAATAATACATTTCAGGCCCGTTAATCACATCGATGAAATATAATTTAATACTTCACCGACCAAGGGACGACCACTAAAAATGATGAACGGTCGGGAAACACGCGGCAAACGTGCCACCTACAAGAGATTCCCGTGCGCCACCCTGAACGTGCAATAACGATAAAGGGTTGGGTATTCGTGAACGACCCTTCTGCTATAGGCACTCGTGAAAGGCATGTGTGGGCTGTACATTACATTCGTCCACTCAGCCACACTCAATAGCCTACCAATTCGGATTCCTTCATATATGGAACGGCCGAGTGGTCCTCTACCTTCGCGAATAGCAATGGAACCAATCCGGGCACTTACATATATAATATTCAATCAATAAGATATCCGTGTCATTGTAGCGGTTTATATTATATATTATATAACGAATCAGAATAAATCTGGGTACATAATCACATCAGAGGTATTATATAAAAATAAAAAAGATTGAAATATATCGATCGAATATAGGTATAGGTCTCGATA